GCCATCGCTACTAGGGTGGAGGCTATTGCTACTAGGGTGGAGGCCATCGCTACTAAGGGGGAGGCTATTGGCTATTGCTACTAGGGCGGAGGCCATTGCTAGGTTGGACTAGCGGCGGCCGGAGGGGCAGTGCGTGGAGACCCGCGCGGGACAGTCGCGATTTTGCGGCGGGAAGCATCATGCCACATCGCAGGTGGAGCCACGGAAAAAACGTTTGCGGGAGGCCTTTACAGAAATTGGGAAAAGCAATGATGAAATACCTTGTTATGGGGGAGCCACTGAGAGTAAAATAATCAAGACAAGCTCCACATTCAGCGAGGACGTAGGAGCTTGGACCGGACTGATCACGACAACAAGGTGAGAACATAATCATACATGCCCAGAGGCTCCATGTATGGAATATATATGCCTACATTGACCCCCCCAAACCACCCCAACTGATCGGCATATATACCTACTGAGCCTTAGACCTGCTTTTTTTAAGGTTGAAAAACTAAAACCTATCTTTATTCACAATGAATGATAAAAACATATCTAATCAAAAAAAATATGTTTTTCTCATATGTCCATGAATGATGCATGTTTTAACCCTGACAAAGACCATGCATACAATATATATCAACCAGATCGGGTGTTCGTCGTTCGGAGTCGTTCGTGACCTTGAACATGTGTGAGTTGAAGCCGCTCACAGAAGAACCCATGAGGAATGTGATTGGTTGTGTTTCCAATATCTTGAAACTTCATGGTTCAGTGATGCCACCAATCCCGGAACATCTTACTTTACAATCTGCCTTGGCTCCACTCCCAACTAGTTGATGTCACTCTGGAGCACAAGAGGCACTAACATGGAGCACTGTACTACCAAATTCTATCCCTTGACTTGGGGGTCTCCGGCCCATGTGTGCTTCCACCGACTTGGAGCTCAACTCCACTTCGAGGACGCCCGGCTCCCCATGTTTTTTCCGGCAGGGCTGGGCAAGATGGGTCTCCATTGTAGATGTCCTTGGCTCATGGCCCACATATGACCATTCTTCATAGATTATATTCTTGGCTGGGCTGTGGATAATTGAGATATGTGATGTTATTTTTAAACCACAAAAAAACCTCTGCTCTTGAGGCAAACCTATTGGGTATTTGCTGCGTGTTCATGTGAGCAGACTATACAGCACAAGAACTTTGTGCTCAAGTTAGGTGGTAGGTTTTGGTCATTCCCAGGTGCCATGAAGTGCACGGGGCTGTGTCTAAAGTGGGAGCAATGTGCGGAGCTTCGTGAACGCTTGCGTACGACCAAAGAGCTTTTGGTTGATCACAAGGATGGTCCCATTTGCCTACCAAATAGGCCAAATGCAGTGGCCAATGCTATGGTTCTTTCCCCAGTGCTTTCGGAGCTTGCCAACACAAGCAGGTTTCGTTTGCCACACTTGGATGATTTGAGCGTAGAAGTTACTTCATTGTTCGAAAAGTGTGGCCTGTCGCTGGGAAGCAAAGCCATCTACAAGAGCTCTGTGGAAATCAAGAAGCTGGCAGGCTTTGTGAAGCGGAGGTGTGCTCGCAAGGAAGTCACCAAGGAGATGGGTTGATGTAGTTATCCATGTCAACACTGCTGAATTTGTATAGTAGCATGCCATCCCACTTCTTGAAATACAACCTATACTTGTTTCAACATATAGTTGAAACTTGTTTTTGCTACAATACACCATGGTAAACTTTGGCAAAACCATACAACCTTGTCATTGCCCTTGCTAGGACACTGATTTCCATAAACTCCTCTTGTTGCTGGATCCCACTCTGCAGGACTGGGTGTGCACAAGACCAATTCCAATTTTGTTTTTGCTATGGTTTGCTGTTTTATGGAACCAACAAACTGGAACCAATATTTACTGTGGGCCCTTTGCAACCCTCCAGGAAACCATTGAAACGTACATGGCATCCAAGAAATCCTCAACTTCGTCCGCTTCCAAAGATTCTCCTGATGAAGATGATGTTGATGACAACAGTGCTGATGATGATGATGATGATGATGAAGATGAGTCGAAGAAGAAAGAAGGGTTTGAAGAGTTCAAGCAGTGGTTGGATGCCATCACACCAACAACCCTCGCTACACCACCAGCAAGTAAGCCTTCCCCTCCAAGTTGCCCTGGCCCTGATGCATTGGAGAGCATCTTGGTAGTGCTTTATGAATACTGTATATTTCTATTTTGTTAGTTGAAGTCGATATTATTTTCCATCAATATAACGCAACAAAATTGATCCATATGGGCTCATCAATCCTTGCCCTTTCCATCCCAGCTTCTGTCAAGGTACAGCGAGGGCAAAGCGTCTCAAAGAACTCCAGGAGCAGATTGCTTTGAAGAAGGCTGCGCTCCAAAGGCCACTTTCCTTTGCTCAGCGCAGCCAGAGTTTAGAGGAAAACAACCTCTATAACTAAAATGTTGGTGTAAGGTGTTTTGGCCTTTGGCTACAAACCAAGTAATGCAGGGCTTCCTTTGGTGTCCACCCTTGAGAGTGCAAACCAGTGGGGCACTACTGAGGAAGGCTCCTACTCCTCAACCATCCACTTCAGCAGTGACAGCTATGCCGCCACCGCCACCACCTCTGAAGAGCAAAGGTGCTGGGTTGATGAAACATGAACATATGAGAACACTTGGGACATAAACTGGGTAGCGTGTTCTATTTTCAAGAAATGAGGGATTTGGAGCCTAACAACCCCGTAGATCTTCATGTAACAAAACATATATAGATTGGTCAGCCACCCAAGTTCATTGGATAGCCCACAGTGTTCTAGTTAAACCTTGACACATCCTTCAACAATGCCATTCCATTCTAAAAGTTTTTGGATGATGTTTGGATGAGCTGTGGCTTAATCCTGCCAGGCCCATGCCAACCAGTGCCTGTGGCGAGTGATCATGATGAAACGCAGCCCATGTGCGATATGGCCACTGCCAGTGTGACTTTTGATTTGACTATGCCCGTGGATGGTGATGACCTGGTGGAACCAGAACAGGAGGATGGAGATGATCCTGCTGCTGGCGCCAAGGTTGGGGCTTCTATGTCTATTTTCATGTTGGTGTAAATGCAGGGTTCCACTGGCAAAGAACACTCTTCAAGTAGAGCTGCGCCCAACCCCAATTGACATTTGTTGTAAACGCTTTTGAACACTGTACTTTAGAATTTCCACATGGTCTTTGAGAAAAAACCTTTATAATTAACATTCTTGGTCAAAAATGACATCCAGAACACATAAACTGATGTGTGTTCCATCGCATATCTTTGGACCAACTGTCAAGGCTGCAGTGCTGACCCGTCGTCAGCAACTACAAGCCAAAGAGAGCAAAGAACAAAAGAGACAGGCAGAGCAGAAAGCCAAGAAGGAAGCGAAGAACAAGAAGAGTGAAGAGAAGGTTAAACAAGGACAGGATGAGGAACCAGAGAACCTTCCTGTCAAGAGGAAGCGTGGCCAGAAGAAAGAGGAAGCTGATGCTGAGTGCAGTGGTGAGAAAGGTGATGGAGAGGAGGTGCCCAAGAAACGGGGCAGGGCAAAGGCTCAACCCAAGGAAAAGGCTCAGCCAAAGGAAGAAGAACCGGGCCAAATGGCCAAACCCAAAGCAGAGCCCAAAGGCAAAGGCAGGAAAGCCAAGGATTTGCCGGAGACCAAGGAAGAACCAGAGATCAAACCAAAAGCCAAGGCAAAGGCCAAGGCACAAGCCCAGGAAACTGAAAATGACAAGAGCAGTGCTGAGCCGAAAAGGAAAGCAAAGGCTAAGGCAAAGGCCAAAGCCAAGGCTGAATCTCAGGAAAAAAATGTGCCTGAGGCGGAGGAGGGTCAAGATGATGATCTCAAGCCCAGGAAGCTCTTTGAATCTGATGGTGAAGCTGAGGCAGAGAGCCCGCATGAGCGTGTAGATTCCAAGACTGGTGAGGTGAAGCCACTTGCCCAAATCTTGGAAGAGCATGAGCCTCGTAAGGCCCGAAGGGCTGCAGGCCAGACGAAGAGCTTGCGTGAGGCATCAGCTGCTTCTGTGAATGATGAAGAAGTGGCCAAGCCCAAGGGCAAGGGTAAGAGATGTGCTTCAAAGCAGCAAGACCTTTCTCCTTTTGCAAAGAAGGAGGCCAAACGCCGCAAGAAGGCTGAGCAAAATGTCATGCATGAGGAGGTTAAGGAAGATCTTGCGCTACAGGGCATTGTGATTCAGCACATCAAGAACTCGGCCCAGATGCCTTTGGATGAGCTCAAAGGGTATCTGAAGACCAAGGTTGCCAGCGAGTTTGAACGGTCCAAGCTTGATACATACTGGACCAGACCAGCCTGTGGAGTGAAATGCCCAGAGCTACAGCCCAAGAATGAGGGGGGTGACAAGAAGGCAGCAAAGAAGGCGGCACAACAGGGCCCACAGGTTGCCTACTTCGGAAAGTGTGGCACGGCCAAGACATGGAATGCCAATCTGGTCTGTTGCTATGTCGCTGCCTCTCTGTTTGTTTTCCAGCTGCTCTTAAGATCACCATTTTTATTTTCAACATGTTTTCCCTCTGGTGAGCTTTTCAGCCATGTGCTGCGTGTCAAAAACAATATGATCAAATAAACATCCAATGCCTGCCCAACTGAATTACATTCCTCTCTGAAACCATGAGTGTGCTCCTGTCCAGCCCAGGCTTCTTGGATGGAGAAGGTTCCGCACGAGATGCTTTTGGACTATGAGGACCCCTTGAGCGCAGTTCAGGGCCAGATGTCATTTATCAAATACAATATCAATGTGGCGGCCTCCCAGGTGCCTAAAGATTGATGTTACGAACCATGACTGCAGTGCATTTAGCATTGGTCACAGTCTTCTTCAATAAAAAACATGATCCGATGGTCATCCTGTCCATACTTATGATTTGTTGACTGTCGTTGGGTGAGCCTATTGGATCCTGTTGGTTTGTTTTGTTCAACTGATATTGGTGTGCCCGATGAATGGTAAACAACTTGTGACTGGACCAACTGCAGCCCAAGTTCAGTAGAGATCTGCTTTTGCGCCCATAGAGTTGCCTTAGCTTGGGATTTGGGGGCACAGGCAAGTGGAATGGAACGTTTTGCAGTGAACGCATGAAGTCTCTTCAGGGGTGCCAACTGCAACCCTTTGTTTTAGGCAAATGCAACAATAATGGTTTACATAGATCCTAGTTCTCTTGTGATTTGAGTTGTTGAAATTCAGCAACATGCAAACGGCCGTAGATCATTGTTCCTTCTCTGTTTGCCTGTACTATGTTCTAGTGCTTTGCCCACTTTGTTGTTAGAAAGTGGGAATTGGGCCCAAGATGGCAATGTTGATGGTGCATGGGGAATACCTCATGGCCCTCTCTTAGCGCGCTGGTCTCTGGGGAAAAAACATGTGATTGTTCAGCAATCCACAGTCCACATTGTAATATGTGTGCAGGACTTTGTTGACTGCAGGATGAAACAATCACAATCTATGGAACAACTAAACCTTTGCGCTTCTACATGGTATATCAAATCTGCAACTTTGGTGCATCCATGGGGCATGACAGAATGAGATAGCTATATATAATTACGAGGAATTAGAAACCTGTTCAGAATCATTATGATACATCACCTGTTTGAATGTGAGTGCATGACAAAGTCTATTGGTTTATGCTTTTTGTCCTTTCCCAATACTCCAGGTCCTTGGTCCTGACAAGTCTCTGTTGGTGCTTCCGCGTCCAAGGCCAGACTGCTCCAGATGCCACAATGCCTCATCTTCGAGGCAACAAGTGGGCAGTCAAGCTGGGATTGCTCCCAGATGACACATGTGCTCTTGCCTGTTTATGGGGCCCGGGTCTGCAATGTGATTTGTGAAGGGCGAGGATTGTTTCTTTTGGGCATGTATGATTGAAAGGGAATAATATAGTCAAGTGGAACCTAACAAACAAATACAAAAGACTTGTGCATAGTCATACATGTCTTTGACCACTTGTTTTGTACTGCGTATGCGGTGTGCGTGTGTTTTTGAGGAAGGATGAGTATATGTTTTTTGTGTTGATGCAAGCTTGTTGGTGTAAACAGTGAATGTGAGACGTGAACATCTGGACCTGGAGTTCAAGCTGTGGGGCCTGAGTGAACATAGTTCAAGAGAAACTTCATTCATTTTCATGGCATCAGAACATTTTGAACTAGTCACAGCTGTTTTCCTTGGAAGAGATGTTTCTAACATGCTTTAATGTTTTGACTCTTTATCACTGGCTGGTCTTGGCCATGACTTGCAGCGCTGACTTTGTCGACAAGCTGTGCTGGCGTCTCAAAGCATTGGGAGCCCCAAAGGTCCCTTGCCCACATATCTTGATGTTGGAATGATAGCAGAATGCATGGCTATTGCAAAAAGAATATCTCATGCTGGCACTGTTTTGGAGGAGTGGATTGAATCAACACCTAACCTTACTGTTTTGGTTCTTTCAACAGTGCAGGTTCTGATCTTTGCAGTGCTTATGGTACTATGGACAGATGTTGCAACTGATAGTTTCAAGGACTGGTTCAGCTTTGTAGTCATGCCTACTTTGTTGGTGATTGGTTTCTAATTCTATACTGTAGTTTGGATGTCTCATGCTGTTAGTCTTTGTTCTCAAGCCCTGGTGTCCTTGCAGGACCTGGGACCCCTGTCCTTCGTTGAGATTTTTGCAGGTCAGGCGGAAGCTACACGCAATTTCCGCTCTTCCAGCTACAAATCAGCTCGCTTGGACTTACTGTACATGGACCCAGAACCAGGTAAACAGAATCCGATGGATTTAAACAGCGCTGCAGGGTTTGCGAACCTAAGGTATTTATCAGTGGGCTTTTGTTTGATATGTTGACTTTATGTGATGAGTGTGAACTGATGTGTTTGCATTTCGCACATGGAGGCATGTACGAATAAGTGGAAACCAACGCTATCTTTGGACCACTTCAATACTGTGGACTGTACTCCTCTCTGCCCAGGACTGCTTTGGCTGTCATATTGAGAGGAGATTGGGAGAATGGGTGGCTGTCGCTTTTTGCATTGAAGTGTTCTTCGTGGACATCTGTAAACTCGGGGACATCGGGTCGATCAGTGTGTTCTTCAATTGGGAACACTCAATATTTGAGTGTCCAAGATGGCAATTCTCTTGGCAGTAGGAACTTTGTTGGCATTAGTTTGCTGCATGCATGACAAAGTGTCAAACCCTTTCCCTGCAACATTCCACTGTGGTTTCATCTTTGTGGCCTTGCTTTATAATAGAAGCACGTTATTTCTATGTCTTTATGGGCAGTGTCATCCTACGTAGTCTTGAAATGAGGATGGTGCTCCTGATGATGGTGGTTGTTTGCCTCAATGGGTGCTTCATGCTTGAACAGCCCTTCTCAAGCTATTTTGAATTCTACCCTCGCTTCCGGGATTTCATTGCTATGCTGCAAAAACATGGAGGTCGCCATGCTGTCCCTTACCCTAACTGACAAAGTGGTTTTGATGTAGTTTGAATTGTTGGAGGAAGAACTGTTGACTGAAGTTGCAATCAACATGAATTGTAGAATTGACTGATTTTTCGAATCCGAGTCCGGTCAAAGGGATATAGTAACATTATTGGTAATCTGTTGGCCTTCGTTTGGAAGTCAATCACATTAACATGAGCTATCTAGTGTGTGAGGATACCAACATACATGTTGGAAGGGGTCATTGTAGATACTGAGAAATGAAATGACACAAACAAGTGAGTTCAGTGGTCAACTCACTATTCAATTATGACTGGGACCTCCTGGCTTCCATGCAATTACAATATCCAGAGTTAAAGGTTCACTAGCTGTTTATGAAGTTGTGAAATTTAATTTTGACATATTGGCATAATGAATATAATCATCCAAACCTAACCTTCTCATTTGTCCATTGCGCTATGCGGTCGTTCCAGCCCAGGTACATAAGGCAGCCTGGTACATGTTGCACTATGGTGGGCCCACACCGAAACGACATTATGCATTCAGTAACTGCCGCCATGTGGCAAATCTGAATGCTGGCAAGCTGAGGGGATGGGCCAGGGTGAAGAAGGCTCTCAAACAGGATGGGAAGCTTCAATCCTTGGTGGATCACTATGTGGACAAACAGGGCAAGAAACGGTGGAAGGGAAACAAATCCCTACGTGCCAGCGAGTCAGGAACTCATTTTGTTGAAACTCAAACAATACTGACTGAGTTGATTGGCATTTACCATAACCGTTTCTTCTGTGCATTCAATGGGGGAAACCACTGAGAAAACCTTGTTTCTGAAGTTTTAGGACTCAACTTTCCCACCAAGGCCAATTGTTTTGTTTGTAACACGTTCTGGCACCTGACCTGGGAGACCTTTGCCTTTTTGCTGGTTGGTTTCTTAGGCACTATCCTGCAAAATTTGGTGCCAAGCTGGTTTCCTTGTTCAAGGATATGACCACTGACCACCTTGGAATGCCTACCTTGCCACCCAAGATCCCGACCGCTGCTGAGACCTTTAACAGCCTTAAATTCGAAGATCTTTGGGCTGAAGCTGGCATGCAATCAGTGTGTCACTATCTTAGGAGCAGTGTCCACTTGCGGGTTCCTGAGGAGTTTGCAGGCCTTTTACCTCGGAAGCTTTAAATGCTTCTGGTGGTTCCGACGTTGCTGTTTGGTCCCTAGACCCTCCGACATACAAATATTTGGCTACATATTAGTTTATGTTGATCCCAAACAACAAAATCAACATTTCTACCCGTAAAAGGCCGTAATCCGTAATCACTCGTAACCAGCCGTAATCCATCACGACATGAACCCCGTAATATACCCGTAATTCTGGTGAAAAACATATGTATTATGCCATAATGACCATAATCTAGGATTTATAGATTCACTGTCCAAATGCCATCACATTAAAAAAACATATGTTTTAGGGACGTCACCAACCCATAATTTTCCTGACCCATAATTTGACCGTAATCAACCCATAAAATTCCGTAACCAACCCAAAAAATTTTATGGGTATTTTCTGAAAAAAAGGTTTTTTTCACTATGTTTTAGTAACATCAAATCATTGGTTTTATAAGGTTTTGTTCGGAATAAGTCAACCATTAACATATATGGTTTGTTGTTGGTGGTGGGGACTAAGCTTTTGGCAACGTCTTCAATTGAACTGCCTTTGTTCAATTCAATGAATAATTGAGACCTTGGGGTTGAGTTCCAGGCCTGTCTAGATGTTCTGACATCGTATGTGCTGTGGAGCGAAAACGTATCAGGTGCATGTGTTTTTGACAATGTCATATAGAGCATGAAACAAACACACAGTTGTGTGAGCTGGTGTTTGTGTGGCATCAATGGTTGAACATGTACTTTTTTTTGGTCTTGGAGGCATTTCTGTGTTTGCTAGCCAAGCAAAGTAGCAGTTGCTGTGTCTTCACATGGAGATTGCCCGTTCTGATACAGCACGCACCATGGTGTCCCGTGCGCATTCATCGAGTGAGCTGCGCCGGGCGCTTTCCTACATCATGAAAGATGGAGAGACTATGGATCTACCTGATGACTTGGAGAAGCTGGAGGATTGAATGGTTTGTAGGATTTGGACTTTGTTGCCACTAGGTAAACTCTCCTGACAAAAGTTGGTAAACATCAGCCTTTTTTTTCATGGGTCAAAAGGTCTAGGTGCACCATTAACCACCAAAGTTGCATTTCTATTTTGTCAGCCTGCAGGAAATGGAACGTGAGCTGAAAGACTTGGAGGTCAAAGACGCAGCAGTCAGACCCTCATTGTCAAAAAGAAAATCTGAATTCTAGAAATGGTGTCCTAAAAAATAATCATGATTGGCTATGAGAAGCTATGAGAACAAAGCATATTTGCTTTATCTCCTTCCCATTCCCCGTTCCCAGTCTTCGGCTCCAAGCAGCGGCTTGCTATGTTGATTGAGGCGGAATCCTTGGCTCATCTGGAGGAACTTCAGCAGGTTGCTTCTAGACTGCAATTGTCTCTGTGGAGATGTATGGCCTGTAGGTTTCCATTGGGTGGCCAACAAAGAAAGCCATAGGAAATAGTTGTCAAAAGAAACTACATGAAAGTAAAACCTAACAGCCTTGTGACAAATATCTCCAGAATGAGCACACATGATTGTTTAGCTTATGAGTCATGAGGTTTTCTCTTTGGAGCTATGTGTTTGGTTCTTTGATTTTTTGTCAGTGTTTCATCTAGTGTTTGCTGAGGCTACTCCCCAGGCTCGTGAGCAACCTGAACGTGCTGAAGAGCTACAGGAGACCATCCCTGCAACTGAATCCCAGGTTGAACGCTCGTTGACTGATGCTTCCCCTTCTCTGACATCTTCCCTGGGACGTATGGACTCGATGACTTCAGATGACAATAAGCCATCTCCAGTGGCATCATCGTCTCCTGAGGATGTTTTCTGCCTAAAAAACATAAGTTTTCCACATGTACTGTGCTGTCTTTGTTTCTACGATGATAATGATTTGCTTGGGGCGTGGATGCCATGCCAGGAAATGGGTGTTCATGCAAGGTCACAAAAATATGTTGGTGGATTCAGGAAACCTAGCCTAAGCAGTGTTTCCCAAAAGGTATGATTGATCTTCTTGTCTGGGTGGATTGTACTCCATTCCAGTGCCAAGCCGGCCAAGCTGCTTCCAAGGTCACTGCACGCATTGTCCAGATGTACCAGAAAGGTGAACTTGATTCGGCGGTTGCAATGCAACTCCTTGGAGGGGCATTGAACTCCAAGCAGGCTGGTGGCAACTCAGGCAGTGATCCAAATGAAGCGGACAGTGAAGGTGGCAAGAAACGACCGGTAGAGCCATCAACACCTGTGTGGAAGACTTGGATGAACTGTTAGATCAAGCCAAAAAAGCCAAGCTGGAATCTTTGACAAGACTTGGTAGTTGCATGCCATTACCTGAAATTTGGTGTGTGAATATGGTTTATGTTGCATTCATGGTGTGCAACAATATGTTCTGTGGATGCATACAGGTTTCTTTGCGATTAGGGGTTGTTGAGTGCGCAAGTCATTTTAGGAAGAGAATGCTTTGAAAGCAAAGCTTCGTCGACTTTGTGAAGTCAAGAGTGGTGGTAGATTGCAAGTGCCGCAGTGGCTACATGATGAATGGAAAAATGGAGACCATCTTGAGATGGCACGCCAATACCAAGCCTGCAACTTTGACAAGGTCGCCCTGGCTGTTGTTGAACGCAGGTGAACTTGTTGTCAACATATATGTTCCTTCTGCCAAGCTTCTGAATTTCCTGGGTTAGGCAGCTCCAGATCCAGCTGTCCTTGAAAAAGAAGTCGGTCACCAAGAACGACAAGTCCATCAGTGACATTGCTGTAGGTTGGTACAGCAAAGATGATATGCTGAAAGTTCTCAAATGGAGTGCGAACCTTTGAAGCACTAGGTAGAATGAAGCTCAACAACAGTTTCACATGTCCTTTCTTGGTTGCAAGTCTCAATTATCTTGGGTTTAGCCCAGGAAGAAGGTTCAAGGTGCAATCAAAGTGTGCCAGCAAGATCCTGAGAACTTGGTGAGGCCATTTGCCAAGCATTGCATTCCAACTGGTCATACATAACACGTGTGCAGTTACATGTCTGAACATGCAAGCAAATTGTATAATTGTATCTACTCCATGGATCCACAGGGTTAACGCAGAACAATGTTGCAGTGGGTTTCTTGCTTTGGAGTAGGGGCTGATGAGCACTTCACTCAAGCCTTGTGAATCTTCAAATGCCAAACACCCCCAAATGTCCTTTGTTGTGAAGGACCTGCCGCTATGGTGGTGAGGATGAGTATTACATCCAAGTCCGTGAGACGGGCAACCAGCAGCAAGAGAAGATCCGAAGCGAATCCGTGGTTGAGCAAACTCAGGATTGACTCATTAATGTTTGATTGTTTCTCCAATAAATTAGTATCCCAATACAATATCTCATGAAGAGCCAAGGCTCAATTGCACATGAAGCCAGTCTCATCCCAGCAGTGTGGCGCTTGACCAAAGTGATGTCAGCCTGTCAGGATGATGGGCCAGCTGAGTTGGAGGACGTGCGCTTGGGGACGCTTGACCGGGCTGTTCAGCGTGACCAAGCCCTACAGGGTTCTGCAGTGCTTGCAACGAGTGAGGCTTGGGCCTGGTCAACTACATGAGAACCTGTTGTTGCATTTTTTCTCTCTCTCCCTCTCTCTCTCTCTCTTTCTCTTTTATGTTTACTCTTTGGTGGAACATTTCATGGTAAATGTGTAAAAGTTGCCATCTATGTTGTGCACCTGGTAGGCTGCCAGATCAAAAGAGATCTTCACCAAGCATGTGGACTCTGTGCTTAGCAAAACTGCAAAACTCCGATCGCTCATTAGTGATTTGCAGAAGAACTACACTGATGACCCAACTGCCAAAAAGTGCCTAAGCTAAACAACTGGATATGTGAACAATAAACTACGATGAACTTGAACAGTGAGTGCTGCATGATGCTGCCAGCCTTCAAAATGCGATTCTCTCATCGATACCAGGGCTGTCATCCAGCTCAACCATGACCTTCAAGTGTTGGACGCCGAATACAACAAGTTATCTGAGCATGTGGCAAAGGGTGAGTGAGATGATCACAATGAAGTGTAACTTGATTGCATGTATCAGAAATGGTGACACTGCATTTTGGCCAGTACTGTTCGCTTAATACAAACTTGGTAACTTGAGTTCCAACAATGTTTTCTTCAGGTGGTGCAAGGAAGCGGAGACCATGTTGAAGGGCTCTACCTTTGTGTGCCTTGAAAACTGCTGACAGTGTTCGTTCATGGTTACAATTTGCAATCAAATCAATGCCAGCCAAAAAAATCAACATGGTACAGCACTGATTGCTAGGTGCACCAAAGTGGCTCAGAGTGAAGCAAAGATTCGGTGGGGGGCTCAAAGCAATAGCACTCAGGCTGCTCAGTTTTTTCCCTCCCTGGACATGGAATGTCATGCATCCAAAGTGGCAATGCATGAAGAAACGGACTGATTCCCAGGAGTGCCAAGAAGCATTTCCAGAAGGTCAAGAAGGAGGAAGTGAAGCCTGAAGCGTAATAAAGCACGGAGATGCTTTGGGCAGGGTGTGCTGAGGTTCTGTAGGTCAGCACATGACACATTTTGCTGTGAAAACTCAAGGAGTTGTGGAGTGTGTTTTATAAACACGCTCCATTTGGCTTTTGAAGGCCTTCGATGTGGTGCTTAGGTAGTTCATGCAATGCACACCGTGGCCACATGACATTATATAGGTGTTTGGTAATGCTTTCAGTGGTTCGGCATCAATGAAACCAAGTCATCAAATATATAGTGTAAGGTGTGCATATGTATGCGGGATTGCGCCGCACGGATGCCAACTTTAGGTTGAAGCCATGTCCAAATGTGCCAGGGGAAAAAAGTCAAAAGAAAAGAACTGATGCCTGATTAAGTAATTTGGTGTTTCTCTTTTTGTTGACTCTGTAGACAGTGTAGTTCCTTTCACAACCCCCAAGACCTACAAAGACACTTGTCCTTTACCATCCAGTACTCTGAAAATCTATCATTGTTTGGCGACTCTTCACCATGCCAGGTCTCGTTGGTGAATCTGCGAAGCGATTTGCTGCCAATATTGGAGAAGGGGTCACTGGCTCAGCGCACACGGCATGGCCAGTGAAGGCTCTAGTGACAACTCATGGTGTTTGACGCTGACTGGCAAGTGCAGGGTTTTGGTTCTTGCTTTTGCAAAGAAATCAATATAGCACAACATGGGAAGTGGTGATGATAACTGAACTTCTAGAGTTTCAAATTCAATAATTCAAATATGTTTTTTTGGTGTTTCATGAACCACTGCAGTGCATGAAGAAAACATCCATACAGGGGTTTGGATTCAGGACAGTGCACCTCCATACTTCAATTGTTTTAAGGGCACGGTGGTAGTATTTTTTAACAACATCCAACATCTTTATAGCGTTGGGGAAGCTGCCATGTATGATGGATTCCTCTGATGATGAGCTGGTGGAGTTGCTCACCTGTCATCGATCGGTGCCTTTCTGAAAACCTTAGCATTGGAGTGTGGCTGTGTTCCTGTGTGTGTGGTGGTTTGTGGGATGTATATAACATTGTACCACTGTGTTTTCTGACTTCATCTAAGGATGAACTTGCGCCATTCCCATGGCCATGCAAGTCAGTGAAACGAGTCAGAAGCTCAACCCATGGGCACACAGACTGGTCACACCTGTTGTACCGGAATTTGCCCCTGGAGGTTGAAAAGAAGAGGGCAAACCATGGTTCCCAAAGTTCTCTGGCATGGAAAGATGATTACTTACAACATGATGACCTCAAGAACCTTCCCCGCTCACGGGATGTGTTTCACAAAATTGAAGTGGACCCTGAACTGACCATGGAGCTGCCGAAGCCAGGATCCAATGCAGGTCGGATCTTGGAACATGCTGTGCGTGTCTTCGAACAACTGGTGTCCAAACTTCAACCGCTTACATTCAAGTTTGGCATCACTCACGATGCATCAACTAGGTGGCACAATTCCAAGTTTGGATACAAGCACTCTCGTGGAGACAAGTTCGACCATATGATAGTCCTTTATGGATCATCTAATTGTCATGGGCCTGCTTTTCTTGAAGCTGCTCTCATTGACAAATTCCAGGGTTACCTGTTTGCAGTGGTTTTCTCCCAGTAGTTGGTTTTCTTGTGAGCGTGTCTTTCTATTGCAAGTTTGCTTTTGTTTGTGCGTTGGATGATTGCCCTTCCAGTTTAGATTGCTGTGCAATGAGGCTTGCAAGGATGCAAGAATAATCACCGTGGTGGAGAAACCATGCTGGATGTGAGTGGACCATACTTGACATATGTTGTGTACAAATCATACAAACGGCCCAGCATGCAAGTAAGGAGTTCAGGCGCTGGGCTTTAGAACAAATTCGAGTGCAGTGCTTCAATTAGATTGCAAGGGTTCAGTTGAAGCCACGTATTTATGAATGCGTGTGAGCATGTGGCCTGTTAAGTTTGAATCATTTTGTGAAGTGCAAGCCAGCCAAGCAATTTTGCAACATACGTGCATTTGTTGAAAATATTGCCTGCGCAAGCCTGCAAACAGGTTTCTTTCTTCCATCTCCAGCTGATTTGGTCGTTTAGCAGTGTTGTGCTTCCACATTGAAAGATGTGTTGAACTTGAAGAAGGCTGTGTTGAAGAGAGTCATATGTCATATCATGTTGTTGATTCTTCTCTTGCTTGCCCCATCTGGAATGTCTTTGCTGTTCTTCTGGATGCTGGCGTCTGAGGCCAGTTGCGTCAGCCAAATCCAGACGGCTGCAGCTGTTGAGACTGACATGGGGAAGAGCAAAGCAATTAGCAAGGGTGTGTCAGAGTGGGCAAGATGTGGTGTGACCCATTCTGAACGTGATGTTCACCGAACCATCAAGAAACAAAAAACGAAGCTAGATATACCAATCAGGACCATTCTTTGCAACGGAGCAAAAATACCTTGGATATCGCCTGCGTCGTGGCTTCGTTTTCTGGTTGATAAGGGGCTTTGGCCAGTGCTTGCTGGCTGTGGTCTTCATGACTATGATGGGGCTTGTCAGAATTGGTTAGAGTTTTGGCAGTTGTACCGCAAGGTCCATCCAACCTTTGGTCTATTTGACCGGGACGATGTGGACTTGAGTAGAACCGCAGCATTTGTGTTGCATGGTGATGAGGGGCGCGCCCTGAAAAAGGGTGCAATGCTTGTGACTTCACTTCAATCTGCACTTGGGCGGGGCTATGATCAGAAGCGGGTTAACCATGCAGGCACATCACGGGATTTGAAGGTCAACTTTGCTGGTCATTCGTTCACGACCAGATGGATTGTACATACAATTCCAAAGTCTGCTTATGATGGCAACCCGGAGCTGTTCAACAGTGCGATGGAACACACAGCCAAATCTTGCCGGAAACTGCTAGAGCAAGGTTATGTGGATGTGGCGCGAGGTCATGAGACCTTCAGGGTGGTCATCCTGGGGGTGAAGGGTGATGCACCCTACCTTTCGAAGGTTGGACGTTTTTACCGCGCTTACAACACAACTGCCAAGAGGGGTGAAGAGCGTGGTGCACCAAAAGGAGTTTGCCCGTATTGCCTTGCAGGTACTCGAATGTATCCAGCTGAAGAGCTTTCCACAGCTGATCCAACGTGGCTCAGCACTGTGGCAGTGAAGTTGCTATGGACTCGGTGCCCAGCAGTCATCAAGCACCTTTTGCATGACACTGAGGACCCGGCAGACTTCTTCAAGAGTGATGTATGGCACATTTGTCATCTTGGCATTGGCAAATCTTGGATATGCAGTGTTCTTCAACTCATGATGCCTTTTATGCCTTGTCCGAACTTGGAGGCAAAATTTGACTTCATGACAACGGAATATCTTGCATGGTGCTGTTCGAAGAAGGAGCAGGCCCACATTAGTCGAATCAGCTCGTACTTGATTTCCTACAATGATGCCACTGGTGCCATGGGTCATTGGCACAAGGGTGCCCTTACAAGCAATTTCATGTTGTGGCTGGTGGATTTTTTGGGAACACTTCCTCGTGATCCAGATGGTTACTCCATGAAGTGTCGTGCTGTGACATACAGAATGAACGCCATGTTTTCTGTGCTTTACAGAAGTGGAGCTTTTTTGACAGAGGAGCAGGCTGCTTTTGTTGCGACGCAGGGCTTGGCTTTCCTGGATTGCTATGCCACTATGGCAGCTGCAATGTTCAATGCTGGGAGGCAGCACCTTTACCCTCTTTACCCGAAGCTACATATGTTTCACCATATCATGATCACTGTGCAGCGGCAGGGGTCCACAGCAAAAGTTGCTGTGAACCCCACAATGTGGGGGTGTCAAATGGATGAGGACACGGTTGGGAGAGCTTCCCGGTTAAGCCGCCGTGTGAACATCCGCCTGGTAGCACAAAGATCCCTTGAAAGGTATCTCGTTGCAGCATTTACAGCTTTTACCAAGGCTGGCCTCTTGGGGTGAAAAGTTTTGGCGCGCTCCATGGTCAGTTGGGATCACACACCAGGGGTTGGGATCCATTATTTACCTGTGAATTGTGACATGGATGCAACATTATGCAGTTCATTGCATTCCCAGTCAGAGCACAAAGATTCAAGGAATTGTAAAACATAGCTTTTTTTTTATAAAAGCTATCTTATTTTTCTCCACCCAAAAAAAAGAAGGTAACGGGTTGCGAAGGTATATATATATATATGGCAGTCTCATGGAGTATCTGGGACATGTACACATTTACATCTGGCATGATTCTTTCATCGCATGAGGTTCTTCCATCGCATGAGGCAAGCCTGGGCGCCCAAGGTGGCACCCCAAAAGTAAGCGTCTTAGGTTCACGCGAAATAGCACATTGAAAGGTGCACCTTCCATCCCCCGCACCAAAAAATACGACTCTCCCTGGAACGACCACATGGTTACGTGGATGTCATGACCCCGAGTTCGGAAGACCATGAAATCCACCACCAACAGGTGGTTTTCCACGTAACCATGTTAGTTCTATAGGGAGACTAGAATCGGGTCGTAGACGGTACCCATCGCTCCATCCTGTTCCACCGTAAGTCGCGGAGTTTCACCATTAGACCCCCGGTGGGACCGAACGAGGCCAAGGCCGCGAAGCGGAGGGAAAGCGAGGCTGTTCTCCGCCTGGTGCGACTTGGCGGCCATCATCAGCACGGTTTGGGTGTCGTAGTAGCCCATGTCACCCATCCCAGAAAGCCGAGCATTCGCCTCGAGGGCACCGGAATCAGCATGTGAACTGGGGGTTTCAGGTTGAAGGGAACAACAACATAGTGCGACTTGGACCGAAGGAGGCCCAAGTTACTCGATGGTGAGGCAGGATCTCATTTGAGGCATTCAAAATGGGAAAAAGCACCAAAACATACCAAAACTACGTGAATGGCATGGGCTACACCGAGTTGGGTCGGCCAAAGGGAACCGGATCAGTGTCCAGTGTCCCACACCGTTCGCAAACCGAAGCGATTTTCTTTTAGGCGCCTGGATCAGGCGGGTCAAGTGGCATGCCCTTTACACTCCCTGAAATCATCATGGTGGAAGTGGATGTGCCATATATGCCGATCCATTGACCCTCCTTCTCAACCATCTCTAGCCTGATCGGCAGTCCTATGGCAGTCCCAGACTGGTCGTGTCCGGGATGGTCCTCCAAAAACTTCCATGGTTTCACCAATTCCATATGGTTCTTTCAGGGAGCGCATGACCCAGGCCTTGACCGGAACCGAACGGTTACCACCCAACGACGGTGACCCGTTCTATGCCACCGCAAAAGGTCTGCACCTACTATGACCCTAGAAGAGTCTTTCCATCTTTTTGGGAGGGAGGGCATGAAATGTCTTCACCCAGAAGGTACACTGATGATTGATAACCCCCCCCTTTTGATTTTAGAATCCTCTTCACAAATTCAAGGAATCTACATGTCAGCATCGTATCTGGCTTGGCCTCATCCATTCTCTCAGTAAATGGGTGCAAGGGAAACATCAAATTCACCCCAAGCCATTGGATTTTCGGTAGATTTTCCCTCAGAGTAAGCCCGGGGCCCATCCTGGAATTCTCTCAAACCTCCCGTGCTCGCCCTCCCCCAGCCATCGCCCCTTCAGGCGGCATCGGCTCGATGCTCCACCAGCTGTCGAATGATCTTCGTGTCGCCTGCCATGACCGCGCAGCACATGCCCGTCATGCCTTTTTGCTCCTGCAGGGCATGGACAGACTTGGACTGGCATGGAAAGACTTGCACTTGACTCGGAACTGGCAAATATCCTTACTTTGCCACAGGTTGGGCATACCTCTCTAGCATAATCAGTGGATGATCGTTCGCCTGATGTCGACTGGTCGGCAGGAAACCCGACCGAAGACCCAGCCGAAGACCCAGTGAGGAAAAAGCGGACTTTGCCAGGTTCACTAAACCCCCGAGTACAATACACGTACGTACATTAGACAACTCACACGTACTTAGCGTGTCAGCCACGTAGGAGGAGTCAGGTAGAGTAAGCATTGTCATTGCAGGTGATCACTTGCGATGCTCGCAGTCCCAGTGTATCGTCTGCTGCGCTTGCGCAGCCATGTGCCGAAACTTTCTTGGCACGTCTCAACGGTGATCTCATTGGTGATTTCAACTGAATTGCACAATCCGTCAGCAGGTTCAATCATCCCAAGTAAAGGTTGAACATCTAATCACACACATATATATATATATAACATTGTAAAACCACCACCCAGTGGCACGCTTCTCCACCCCCCCTCTCAGCATCTCCGGGACAAAAAAAACAAATACAATCTCCTTGATGGCTTCACTGATGGATGGGAAGTCGAAGTGCTCCAAGAAGCCATTCAGGTCCCATGACTCCTGATCCTGGGCCGTCAAAACCAACCTGAACGACAAAAAGGGCTCATCAACACGGATCAAGAGGGTAGCTCTGAAGAAACACCAATGCCAATAAATCAAGTTCGCGTTGTTATTAGCTGAGGCTACAAACCTCACAAATAAATTTTGGATAAAGCCATGCACAAATCATAAAATCCCTTACTTGCCATCTGGGAATTCTACTGTGCAGGTGGGGTTGCTACACGCCAGTCCTGGTTCAGCAGCTTCGCTCGCCAGGCCAAGTAGAAGCCTCACCATGGGGGGACGCCACCGGTCGGGTGATGTTGATTCATGTTGATTCAAGTGAACTAGGTACCAAATGCTACCAGGATCCACACGCCAGGATATTTCTTATAGAACCTGCCCTAAATTGGCTGTTTGATACCTGTGGCATTGGCATTTATCACCATGAGGTTGAGACCCTACAGCCTATAGTCTATAGTTGCAAGTAGAACCGTAGCATTAGAAAGCTTTCGAGGTGTCCCTTTCGCAATGATCAACAACTGTGCCATGCAGGGCAGGCAGGAAATGTTGCAGGGCTCTTGAAACCAAACTTCCTTTCCAGTCCTTTGGCACTGATGCTGGCAACTTTGGACAGGGACACGCTGCTTGTCAAAAAACATATTGACCTAGGTCTGAAAATGACAAAGCACGGCGGATCTCAAAGCAGAGATTGGACGATGGAAACCTGTGGCCGCTCCAAGTTCCATTGTTTGTGGTTTGACTGCGCAGTCCTGCTTCACTGACCCGTCCATTTCTGTGGCCTTACCGGGTAAACGCATACCCGCCACGCCCACGAAAATATAAACAACAAACATCCATATGTTCAATATATGGTCATTCTGGAGTAGATGGGATATGGGAGTTCTCCAAAGCCAATGGAAAGCTGATCATGTTGTGGGACTGGTCCATATTCTATCTACTCCAGGATGGTTGTACGTCAATGACCCTTTCAAACAGCAATCGGCGCTCCAACCGGAACGTCTCAACCAGACCACCCGGAAAATAACAACAGGGCGAGGCGTCGCCATCACAGTTCTGAGCCCAGGAAGCGGTAGTGTGTGAGCCGCCCATGCGACTTCAAATGGTCCAGTTTACTCTTCAAGGCCATCTCGCCCAGCTTCACCTCGCCAGACCGGCCGGACCGCACGTGACACGTCGCTCACGGCTTGCCGCGCGACACGTCGACGGTGCGACGGTCGCGTGCGACCACGAGGGGTGCCTGGGGGGAAGAACCTAACGTGGAGACGCGATGGCTCTGAGCGTCCAACCCTCTGCATGATCGGTTCTGAACCTTCATCAATGTTCAAGGCAAAATATGGGGAACCAGTGCCAAAACCTGGTGACGATACTTAGAGACAACTGAAGCTCTTGCCAAAACTTGGCAGCAAAGCAGGCGAGTGGTATTGAGACAGCAGCATGTGACCACTATAGAGTTATAACACATTAAACATGCTACGAGCGGAAGCGGTTTCTTACCCCAAGACCTATTAGCTACCCCACCCCAATGGCACAATGAGTTAAAGCAGGGAACCAAAAGTTACCCCACACATCCAAAAACCATGGCACAGCGGTTCTTGTGTTCTGTGTTTCTCCTTGCATTGTATCCAAAAACTATGTAGTTCCCTTGCGCTTTCAGTGTGTGGGATTGGCCATTATGAACATCTTTGACCCCAGAAGCTTGTAAGATCACAATGGCACACCTTGTTTCACCCCAGTCGAGGCGCCTTCCCAAACCACGCCGCCCTTGCAAATGGTTTTCCTATTTCTTTGGAAGTGAAACATACCGGTGAGATCTGTTGGACAAAGGTTATAAGGTTATATGCAACACATAAAGAATACTATATGTTACTTACTATGATTATATCATCGAAGAATACGGTTATATTTTATATGGATTTATATATAGTAAAGTACCAGTAATATATAGTAATGCATTTAGCTCTGGACTCTCATCACGGGGCTCGGGCATTCGACCCACCAAGGCACCACCTCCTCTCGATCGCTCTCCACGGTGAAGGCGCCGTCGGAGATGCGGCTCCTCGGCGCCGTCGGAGATGCGCTCAAGGGAGGAGCCACCGAAGGATGGGCTTAAGGAATGCCATCGATGGATTGAGAGTAAATGGCACACCCCCCTCCCCAGATCGGTTTAGTAGTGGACCCCCATCTCTCGACAGACATCGAACCGGGTGCCCGTGCCATCTACTCTTTGAAATCACTGTAGTTCTTAAGGTGAAAAGGTTGAATCACCCTATGCAAAAGCAGGTTCATTGAGGGCCCTCCACTGGAGATTCAGAAGTGGGCTGTCAGGTTTTGTAGGATAGTTTCAAGTTTGTTCGTTCTTTGGCGATCACTGATCCTTGGCTTATTTAGATGGTGCAAGTGTAGGTCTGCCTATGCGTTTCATACGAGAGGCTCATCAGTGATTTATGCAGAACATTAAGTCTTTCTAGAGGCTGCCTTGCACGGCTTTTGCCAACTAACTTTTGAACATCAAATGTCCAAATGGCCCTTGTTTGCCACAAAAAGCACAGGGTAGCCAACCAGTTCCACCAAGTGACTGGTCTGAGACAACAGGTTTATCTGAGGCAAACAAGGGGCCGCTGTTCGCAGTCAAAAGCTTGGTCTTGGACCAGCGCAGGTTGCACAGCGATGTGCAAGGGAGGTCCAAGCATGCTGCTGATTACACTCTGATGAACACATCACATGGTTACGTGGATGGCAAGGTCCCAAAATTATATATATATATATGCCCTAGAGGTGAGTAAGACCTCGGGGCTCGTTGACCTCGCTTGGGAGAACCTCTCTCGATACCGCAGGGTTGGCTATATCTAGTCCCGTCCCTGCGCGACCTGTCCGGTACTGATTTGAATCGCAAATTTGGACCAGTGGCAATGGCACACATTCGCAACAGAATAGAAGGGGAAAGGAACAGAATGGAACAAGATCATACAAGTTTCAACTTGGTCCAGACCCCGTTATAACCAAACACTAAAGACAATCAGTCAGGTGGGATTGGCTACACCTAAGACCTAAGCCGCGATACATCCCGCCTACAGTGCCTTCACCTTTCTCCCCTTCTTGGAGAAAAAGAAGGAGGAGCTGGCCGCGTTCGAAGCCGAGGAGCTGCTGCCAATCCAACGGGAAAATAAACTCGGCCTCCTTTGCCTCGGTTCCCCCCCAAGGTCTCAGGCCGCCGTGGTGTTTGCGAACACGACGCCAAAACATGGGAGAAAAGCACCCCAAAAGCACCCCAACGTGGTGGGGGGGTAATGTTGTGTGTTCTTAGCGTTGCCTGCAATGAATCATGTAGACTCTTGATTATAATAGACCTCCCCGTTCGAATTGGAAAACCATGAAACAACCTCTTCACATGGGGTGGTTTATTAATCAAGAGTCTGCATTAAGGGTCTTTCTGGGACTTTGAGGGCGGTTTGGACAGGTGGCACGGAAAAGGACATCTCAAAATGAGTGCCACGATGCGACGCACATTGCAGCTACTTGGTGCCATTCCGAACCAGTCACCCGGGCCCCACCCCACCAGAAAAAGAAAAACACACAAAACATCTTTGGAACGCTCTCGCCCTCTTTCGCCGGTCCCCGGTCCCCCCGGGCCCCAACCCAGCTCTCTCCAAACCCACCCCACTACCCACCCCCACTACCCGGTCGCTCTCCACGGCACCGAGAAGAGGCAAATGACGGAGGGGTCCTCGCGGTTGGACAGCAAGCGACACCAGAGTTCCGCGCGGCACCAGCCCCGTGAGAGCCAGCTGGTGTAGTTGCCTCGGCGCGCTTCGTGGCGAAGCGCGCCGAAGGAGCCGAAGCCACGGAACCACGGCTGCGAGCGTTGCGAGCTACGGCTGGTAGGGTCAGGAGTTTGGAGCAGCCCAGTGGTACCTCTCAAGGTACTCAGGTGGATGAACCATGTAGTAAGAGAAGGCACAAACATGATGAAATGGCAAACATGCTGAACAATGCAGATGTATTACATCATATTACATCAATCATGGAAGCGGAACATAGGGCCCTGGAAAACACATGTTGGTTAGCGTCATTTACCTTCAACCCTCTCTTTCGCGCCGCTCCCACTCCAACTGTCCCTTTCCCACACTGGTTCAGGCTCAGGGGCAACTGACGCCAGTGTCCGCGTGAACCTTTAGTCATTCCAGCCGGTGCCAGAGTCAGTTGAGTCGGCCGAGTCTTCTCATGGTCGAACAGCAGCCATGGGTGTCGAACCGAATCTCATGACTCCGTCAATCCCTAGTGTCCTGATTTATTGAACAGCTTAGAAGTCTCACTGAACCACTGTGACCCACAACTGTCATGAGGTGATGATGGAGAAACAAACGCACACACACACACACACGATGCAAACTGATAGAACCTTCAGGTCCTTCGCAAGGTAAATCCCTTCTAATTCAGCCAGTCAGATGGTCCAAACCAAATCCAAAACTTGCAAGGAGAACCTGTGCGAGGCATTCTCGGTTGCTCCCGTCGTCCGCCTCGCCGGTCGGAACGTAAGAGCCCAGCGGCCAAATCCGGCACCAGGGCGATGAACAAATCCTGAGCAGCTGCGGTTTTGGAGGTTTGGCCATGGTGAGAGGTTTGGCCCCGGAAGCACTAAGCAACCCACACCTCAGCCGCCCCAGTGGTTTGTCAAAGAAGATACCAATGACAATATGCTGATATGCTGATATGCTTGTGAAAGTGGCTGGCATGTTGGTAAAGAATGGCGAAGATCGGAATGCCAATCACGCAAACCCTAAACTCGCTTTTAAGGTTGTCCAAAATAGAAAAATCAACGTTTAGCTGGCTTAAAGTTTTGCCCCCACACTCCAGGTCGTATTATATATAGAAGTTAGCATATATTATTAATATTATGCTATATTATGATATATTGTGTATAGACGGGAAAATAACACACAAATTATCATAAATTTAATCATAATAACTAACGACAATAGCAATCTACATTCACCAAAGAATATCACACGTGATTGACTTATATTATATTATTGATCTATATAATGTACATCGTATACCCGTATACATTAATGACAAGACCGGATTAATAACCCCCCCCCACATGGCAGGTCAACAAGGTCAACAAGGTCTGAGATAACCACTCATGAGGTCCACTCCCCCTGAAATATCGGCTCAGGGAGCCATCGTAGTCGCAGCCGTCGTCGGTAGTAGGTAGTAGGTAGTACGGTACGTAGTAGGTAGTACGGTACGTAGTAGGTAGTAGGTAGTAGGCAGTAGGTAGTAGGTAGTAGGTAGCAGGTAGTAGTAGGTAGTAGTAGGTAGTAGGTAGTAGGTAGTAGTAGGTAGTAGGTAGTAGGTAGTAGTAGTCACAACAAGTTTAAACAAGCACAAAGAAAAGGCCAGGGACACAGGATCAAATTAATAGGGGGTAGTAGTGCAGATTATTGATGGGGGACCGGCCCTTGTGAGGGGTACCCTTTTGTGAGCTTGTCAAATGATTGTCTTTAATTGTTTTTTAATAAAGCAATTTATAGGCCCTGAGCCCTAGACATTTTTCAGGATTTCAAACATGTAGTAGGTAGCAGGTGGTGATGGCGGTGGTGGTGGTGGTGGTGGTAGCAGTAGCAGTGGCAGCTCAGTAGCAGCAGCATCAGCAATAGCTAGTCGCAGCAGCAGCAATAGCCAGCAGCAGTAGCAGTAGCAGCAGCAGCAACAGCAGCAGCAGCAACAGCAGCAGCAGCAATAGCTAGTAGCAGCAGCAGCAATAGCTAGTAGCAGCAGCAGCAATAGCTAGCAGCAGTAGCAGCAGTAGCAGGAGGAGTAGTAGTAGTAGTAGCAGTAGCAGCAGCAGGAGGAGGAGTAGTAGCAGCAGCAGCAATAGCCAGTAGCAGCAGCAGCAATAGCTAGTAGCAGCAGCAGCAGCAGCTAGTAGCAGCAGCAGCAGCAATAGCTAGTAGCAGCAGCAGCAATAGCTAGCAGCAGTAGCAGTAGCAGCAGCAGCAGCAGCAGGAGGAGGAGGAGTAGTAGTAGTAGCAGTAGCAGTAGTAGCAGTAGTAGTAGTAGTAGTAATACGAAAAATTGACCTGGTTGTGGTCTCGGATTAACTGGGGGGGGTTGTTGGTAGAAAAATAGACCATAGGGGGTGAAATCAACAGCCAATAATACTTTTAATTTGGGCAATTTCCGGCGGCTTTGTGGGCTCGGATTAACTAGGGAGGGTTTATTAATCCTGACTTTACATTACATAACTTACATCCACGCTCCCATGCCATCGAGCAGGCCCCACACACACAGACATGCAATGCCCAGATCTCCGATCTCCACACCGGCTCCCCTCCGCACCGCGGACTCTTCGCTCAGCATCAGAGGCTTCGACATAGGCGGGGATGCTCTGCACCGCCAAGGCGGCGTCGGACTTGGTCTCCTCCTGCAGCGCGGCGGCCCACCAGTGATTGAATGGTCACCGAAGAACCATGGGTAACCATGGTTTTACTGAGGATTTTTGACATTGTGGACTACAAACATCCGGTCAACCTTTCTTCTAAGATCTTTTCAGGACCGTTGAAGGCGAACGCTTGCAGGGACCAAAGGTTTCAGAGTATTGATTTTTGATTGCAAAATCCCGAATGTCGGTGATTTGTATGGACCCTGATAGAAGCGACGTCTTTGGGTGTGTGCCATCTACTCCGAAACCACCGTAGTGCTTCTTACTGAACAACCATTGTTTCACTCAAGGTCACCTTTTAATCCTTTAATGGTCTTGGAAGTCTAATGACAGTCCCATGGAATGTCTGGCTTTGATCTTCACCTTCCCAAACCAAGGATTTGTTTGAAGATTCTTGACCTACGCCTTGGCTAGGAGCCAGCTAGCATGAAGGACCGGAAAGCACCGGTCCGAGCCGCTCCAAGCCACAGCGCAGACCCTGTCAGACCCTCCCTCCCCTGGACTGGTAGCGTGCAAACCTCCACGCGCTTTTCAGGCAACTTTTTGGCTCTCAAACGATCATGGCCTGCCCAGCTTCAGGAAGCGTGAGACCATATTTCTGGCCGACAAGGGCTGGTTCATCGGCACCATGTGACCTGCCCCAAGCACCACCACCTCAGCGTCAGGTTCGCCGAAAACATTCCCGAAAAGAACATATACCTCCTACCTTAGAGGGAGGTCATCTACCCGCTATCCCAGAGCTCAGCGGGGGCCCATTTCCTAAGGATGCAGCTATGAAAATGTGATTTGCCGTCCAGGAACCTGGAACAAATACAATCCCCTATGCCAGGGGATTGACCCTCAGGGAGCCAAATCACCTTAGGCAAAACCAGGTATAATATATATATATATATATGTATATTTATTTATGTATTTAAATCTATATAATATGTATATACATTGGGATGCTTGGTTTCAGGGGTCAATGTAAATGCCATGCACTTCAGTCATCATGAAACATCCTGAGTCCATTCAGCGAAGAACATCGTTTGCTTCAGAAGAGGTCAGGTCTTGGATTACACTACTAACATGGAAGTCGAAAATGGCCCCTGTGAAGACAATTTTCCCCTACAATCAGCTGGTTTTCCATTTCCATGTTAGTGAGTCTGAGTGTATATATTGTCAGGTCTTGAGTGCGTCACCTGCGGTACTGACGGCACCTATCTAAGCATCGGCGGATCATCGGCTGGTGACCTGAGACCTTGGCAACAATCTTTGGAAGCATGCTTGCATTGTTGGGGCGGGCACTTGACCATGATTTCACGCACCTACATGTGCGCACCTGCGCCCAGTCCTGATGCAATCCCCATCTGCAGCCCTACGGGGCCCTACCTGCTCCAAATTCTTGAAACTCTTCCAGTAGCCAGCGATCTGCTCGTCAGGCCGACGCCAAACTCGCCGCTCATTAGAGAGGAACTCCTCAGCACCTTTTTTTACGCATCGATGCAATTGGATGCAGCGTCTGGACTAGACAGAGATCCCCGGCAAATAGAGGTGAACCGGTTAGCCTAACTTGCCACCTGTTCGTTTCTAGTGGGGGGGAACATGGGGAAGCGCACGTCGTTGCACGTTTCCCGTGGCATGCTTCACCATTACGTCACCATGATGATCCGATGGTTTGGGCATTGGGAGATGCTGGGAGATGCTCACGGCATCTACCTTGGGCAATTGATGATTGCTCAGTTGCAGGCCTTTCTCAAACATATACCTCCTCTCAGACCGCACTGGACACACCGTACGTCTACTGTTACATGTACTCATAGTATCCTGAAACATGATCCCAGAAAATCCCAACCCTGGCATCTCCTGGTGCATGGCCAGGGCGTGTCTAGAATAGAGCGTGGTATGCAGCCTCCCACTACGTAAAAGACTCAGCAAGATGAACTTGGCTTAGCTCCAAAGCTCCAGGCTCCATTCTTTTTGCGACAACACCTCGTGTTCTTTCAAAAGTGTTGTTGTTATAGCAAAATCCAAATGTGGCAACACCTGGACCTCTTGTTCTCTTCTTTAGCAGCTAGCACTGCCATATGATGTGTTTCTCTCACACTTCCATGTTCTGCCTTCAATACCTTGGAACCACCTCACTCCACCATCGTCACGACCGCCGCTGTGGGCCTGTCCAATTGAGACTGCGAATCCACGCTTCATTGGAAACGACGCCATCCTTCCAATCAAATTGGCCCTGGTAGAGCAAGAGTCGCACGCCCGCACCCAACAGGGTCTCCACGTGAGGCTTTTGAGACTTCCTCAGTTTGTTCCAGAAAAGGTGGGCCATGGTGGGCCTGTCAGTCCTGATCCACATACCTCCCGAACTTCTCATAGACTCATAGACTAAAGAATAGGTTCTTAGAGTTTTGTCTACGATGCCCGCGGGCAGGATACACAAAGTTTTGGGGGGCTATTGGGACCAGGGTCTGGTGGTTACTGCAGGTCTTGAGCTCCTCATCCACCCTGGTGGAGAGGATTTGCGGTCCAGGAACAGGAATGATCTCACCCAAAGGAGGATCATCCATAGGGAACAGAATACTCACCCGCATACGCAAAACAATGTAGTGTATATAGACTCAACGGTTTTAACCTACCAAAACTCGCATAATGCGCTTCGCCTTTAATTCACCATTCGGATTGGAGCCAGGCTGGTGATCAAATGTGAAGAAACCAATGTTGCATATATGAATAAACAAAACATACAAAAACGCATGTCCCGGCTATTTCTGGGCGGTCAAGGCTCATGATGTCAGCCTTCAGGTTCTCCTTCACCTCTGGCGCAGTGCCGAAGTGCAACGCGCGAGGGATGTGCAGCAAATCCTTTGTACTGTTCTGGTCGAAGAACTTCTGCATCGCATCCCAGGAATACCTTGAAGCAACACATAGTGGCTTCTTCACCAACAATGATGATAAAACTATGTCTCTCTCACACACACATACTAACTGTATATTATATATTATTATTTCATACATGCATACACACATATAAACAAATACATAGTATATATATAACATTATTCAACATTTGAATATATATAGATACACAAATTAATATATATATATACTTATATATATACATACAATATCTTAGATATTGTACGAATATGTTACACCCTGGAAGACTAACATGGACCCTGAAAACCACTGGTTGGTAGAGGAAAACAATCTTCCAGGGGGCCATTGTCAGGGTCTATGTCAGTTTTCAGGAGTGTACTCTTTGGTGTCACCCTGCGCGGCCATGTCCTTTCTCTCACCCCGTCTCCCTTTGAGGTGTCCCGCTCTCGTCTCGCGCGGCCGACCGTGCCGTGAGTCCAAGGGACTGCACGGTGGTGCGAACGTCGTAGGGATTGATGAGCGAGACATTCCTGAAGGAGTCCGAACGAGTAGGAGCAGTAGGGGTGAGTTGCTTGTTGTTGTCGTTTTTGTTCTTCGAGGACTTGAGAGGACGAAAAGAAGTTCCATGAAGTTCCACACATATAGTTCCGCTGCATGGTCCTTTTTTCGGCTGGAACATGGCTGTCAAAGAATCACAGCTTGAATTAGTCAACGTTTCGTACATTGCTCTTCAAGGTCAAATATAAATATTGTATATAACTATATATAAATATATATATATATATACCTAGACCCTGAATGACCTCTATTTTGGACCACCAACCACCCCAAATATTGCCTTTTCCATCCTTTTCCTATCAAAACCAGGGTCAGCTGGGTTCCAGGTCTATAGTTTTTTTTCTAAATTACTTGCTTATAAGCTGTATCCAAAATACAGTTACACACCAACGCATCGACCACCTGCTCAATGCGGCCTCCGAACTCAAGAGTCGGGTGCCTCCGAGAGTCTTCACCAAGTCTTCCATTGCAGACCTTGGACCGGAGGTCTGCAAGGTACCGGGCCGCAAGGCGTAGACCTGCCTCTCCAACCAAGAGAGATTAAGTGACCTTACAGGACCCTATTGGGGTACCTATCGGATTGTCTATAGTTGTCAAATGTCTATAGCCAACCTCCTCATGTTTCCTAGAATTGACCCGAAGATGCTGTTCCTCGACCAAGTGGGTCTGGTCTGCTTAGATCGTCGGGAGGGCAACTCCATACATACACAGGACAAGTTCTTGGAAGCAAACTATGCCCTCAACAAAGTGGACAGCACTTTTAGGGTTCAACGAATATCATTGCTCTCTTTGATGAGTTGTTCCGATGAAAGTGCTCCTGCAGAAAATACACAAAAACATGAAATGGGTTAACCCCCGGCCATGTGCATGGGTTTCATTATAAACTTCCACAGGAATTCCGCACCATGCATGCCACAAAAAGCACATAAACAAGAACGGGGCAGCCGCAATGACAAACGCCCACAAAGGGTTCCGAAGAAACAGGTCTCCACCGCAGGAATCCCAAAGACCCTTAAAGCTTGGATGAGCAAAATGTGACCTCTTAGGGTGGATTGGATGTTGAAGTGGATGCGGAACTGGTCATGTGCAAAGGAAACTTGGAAACTCCACATGCCCCAAACATGGCGGTTTTTTTTCTCCTCCACCTACCCTGCCGGCTCAGTGCAGCACGGCACCCAGCTCAGTTTTTTGGAACACATGCCAATGGATCAAAAGCGATGCGAAATCCGAATGGTCCAAAATCAAGAGAGGTTAAGTGACCTTATAGGACCATACTGGAGTACCTATAGGATAGTCGAACTACGGTTCTTCAACCTCTGTTGCAACGAGGCGGCGACCGAAGCACTCTCTCATACTGTCGCAGTGTCAGAGGGTCCACATCATCTCTCCTCATCCCAACCCCAACATCCCCACCCTAAAGTCCTTCAATTGCGTAGGCGCGTGGTGGAAGTAGGGCGAGAACCCCAGGCAATGGGAATGAACTCCCACTCCAACTTTTTGGAACTAGGACCTTGAACCCCCCATTCTCATCCATTCTCCACCTTCTCCTACTGCCCTCCCACTGCCCGCCGGCCTCCATTCCGCCGCCTCTGCCCAGTGCTCCGCGCGCACCGCGGCATGCGCCTTGTTGGCCAAACGCTGCGCCTCGGCTGTGCGGCGCTCGTCCAGGAGGCCGAAGGCAAAGGCCACGCCTCAGGACGCTGCGGTGGGGCTCGGGCGCTCGTCGCTGGAGGAGCCGGTGGAGACGTGGAGGAGTCGGTGGAGACTGTGGGATGAGGTCCAGGGGAGCCAGCTGAAGTGAGGTGGTTGGATGTGTTTCATGTGTGGGTCGTGTGTCTTCAGGTGACTTTGTAGAATGACCTGAAGTGAGGTGGTTGGACCGTTGGACCCATCACATGAGGCCGAAGGAGATCCGTTTGGGAGGTTAAACAGGAACTCCGAGGCCGCAGCAGCCATAAAATTGCCAGGATCAGATTCTAAGTTGGACAGTTCGAATGATGCTTCGACCCGACCCATGGTCAACGTATCTAAAGTCCATCAACAATCCCATACGATGGCCACTCTTTTAGACATGGAAGCTGGCTGGTCAGGCCAGTCGTTGATTATAGTGGGTTGAGAGTCGTACATAAGGGTAAGTGTGAACTTGTCGTGCACGGCGAACGAAGTCCGTGTCGAAAAAAAAGAAAGCACGAGGATCGACGATCCTCACGGCCGCGCCTTTTCAGCGCACATGAACCCTCCCATGCTTGAGAGGTGAGTTGCGGGTGACATGAAACAGGTTCATCTTCAAGAACCTAAGTGTACAGCGTACACTTCACACGGGGAAAAAAGGTTCTTTTCCTCACGTGTCTAAAAGTCGCTGCTCGTAGGCGTCCAGCCAGCGAAAAACCAGCACCCTTGCGGGCTCTCCTTCTCGTGGATCGGTCAGATCCGGTGGCAGCATGCGGACGCTGCACAGATGGCATCTCTCAATCATCCGAAAGGACGATGCTTCTCGACCAACCAGAGAGGTGCACTCAGGAGTGGCATGCCATCGATGACCATGCCTTGACATCCAGATCTTCTGGTAAAAGGGGCAGTCATTGGAGTGCTCATCCATCTGCCTGATGCACATGCGAAGGAGATCATTGGCCTCGCTCAGCAGGTTCTCTGCTGTGCACTGGTACGCTAGCACCATGTCAGCAGCAGCTCGACTTTCAGAAGCTGAGGACTTGCGCCATAGAGACACTTCTTCTTTTGCTTTCGCCAGCTCTTCACGAAGGCGGGAGTGCATCACCAACTCGTCCTTTTGAACTGCAGCTTCTGCCACCACAGGGCGTCCAGGTTGGCGGGTCCAACGGCCAGCCAGGAATGCTGAGCTCATAACCATGAGGAAGCCGGTGAACAAAATCATTCCCACAAAGTCAACTTCTTCTTTCTTTTCGGTGGTGAGGTCGGTGCCAACAACTAGCTGGGGAACCATCACAACCAAGCAAAGGAGCTGGAGGAGGTACTTCATGAAGCCTGCACAGGGCTTAGTCAAGCGGCCAGGCACGACATGGCTGGACCTACGGTTGACATACACAATGGCGTCATCGGTGCGAGCACACATGACATTCTCAAGGACCTGTTCATTCGTTGGGTCCTGGTCTTCATCAAGCAGGTTCTCATCAACATTGTGCTCAATTTCTTCAGTCTCAAAGGGCTCGTATAGGTCCAAGTTGTCGGGCTGGATGAGGCTCTCGTCCTCAAACTGAACCTTGGGGCTTTCCTGAACACTCTCCAGTCGGCTCTGCTGAAGTTCTTCTTTCGTCTTTTTCTTCGCGGCTTTGTATGAGGGATCCCATACCAGCTTGAGTCGACCATGACGAAGTCGTTGTGCCAGGAGAAGCCGTGCAGCCTCTTTTGTCAGACCATCTGCGATCTGTCGTTCGGAGGACATCCACCGAAGGTTGCCGCCCAAAGCACTGAGGCGGTCCTTCATGACCCTGATCTCCAGAGAGACCCTTTTGTCGACCACAGAACTTGACACACCTTCCCTGTGATAGGAGTCGAACAAAGCCTTGGCGTCCGTGACCATGACTGGGGCCAACAGCGACGGGGCATTCAAGACGTGCTGCAAGCTCTGCCGAGGGTCCATGAGCAAACTCCAGTAGATGCTGGCATGTTCGAGGGCGTCACATGCCTGTCCTCCACTTTGAGCTTCCGCGCCAAGCGATGACCGAGCAATCCTCGGTGTCTTCATGCTGCGCCAGTCGAGGATGTGGTAGGCGCCTTCAGGGCCATTCGCTTCAAGCAGGCTTTTGTGAAGCAACATGATCACATAGCCAGCTTGTGATGAACCATCACTCCTGGTGGCGAATGCAGCATCAAAAAAACACACCATGCGAAGCTCCTCAACAGGGCCCAAATGGGCATAGTGCAAACCAACATCAGCATGCTCCTTAGCGAAACGCAGCAGACGATTGGTATCGGCTACAGTTTGCAAACATGCTTTGTTGACATAGCCACTCAAAATGGATGTACTGCTCTGTAGGTGTGGGCTAGATTGCACTGCAGGCCATTGCAAGGAACCTAGCAAACCACGCAGCTGTGTGATTTCCTTTTGGTTCAAAGACTCTGTGAGGTTGCGCTTCCGGTCGTAGGAGATTGGCTTCACTTTGCCAAGATAGCTCTTTTGGTTGAGCATGAAGCTTCCGTCCTCATTGAGGAAAATGTCGCAGCCACAGTAGGTGAGGGGCTTCCCATCATCACCTGTCTTCCATTCACGGAAGGTGAATGAGCTTTTGAGCTTGGCCAGGGTGTCATTGTAGCACTGCGAGGTGGTGGAGCCACAACCAAGCATGTCGTCCACGTGCATGATCACCATGCCACAAAGACCATGCGGGCCCAACAAGTGCGGTGCCGGTGCAGCAGGGTCAAACTCAGGGTTGAGCTCGCCTTCATACATGAGGAAACAGCAGGGATCTTGTGGATGTTGTTTCAGCCCCATGCCCTTCAGCTTGTCCACGGCGGCCAGGTACCAAGCTCTTGGGGCATCTATCTGACCATAGCATGGCTTCAGGAGTAGCATCCGTGTGTCGGGGGATGCTCCAAGCAGTTCCAGGCATTCGTTTGGGAGTTGTACCCATAGTTTCCTGCTTTGCGGTTTGCCTTGCGAGAAAGCCGTGGCAATGTCTGAGGTCCAAATTGGCCAGTTCATCGTGGAAGCCAGGCTGAGCAACATAGATCTCGACAGCCGGGTCGTCGTTGGAGAGGATGTAGGAACAGTGCCCTCCCAGGCATCGGGATCTTGAAATCCTCTGACGATCAAACGGGCCTTCGCCCTTGGACTTCCATCGGGATTCTTTGACCATTTGAGCAGCATGCGACTTGTCAAAGTCCGGCTGGGCTCTGCTTCATGGGTGGTCTCGAACTGCCACACTTGGTTGTCGAAGAAGCTTTGCAATTCCTTGACCTTAGCGGCCTTGAACTGGGCACGTTCATCTGGCGTCGTGTGACGCTCTGTGAGGTTGTTCTTGTTCTTGTCCTTCTTGAAGGTTTCGGCGTGCTGCATCTTGGCAGTCTTGCCCATCTGACGTGCTCCTTGTAGTGGGGCTTTGGCATACATGGCCAGTTCACGTCGGATGTCGCCCTTGATCTGGAAGATGCTGAGTCCTGTCCAGGTGCGGTCCATAGGATGTGAATCAGTGCCGTCATCGGTGATCTGATGGCTTTTGCCGTTGTTGTCATACATCACGGTGACTCGGACTTGATCAAGCTGGTTGTGGTGGTAGGGACTGTCCTTGGGCAGCTCGTGCAAGCACAGTTTGTGTCTCCTTGGCACGAGATGATGTCGAATGAGACAGCCAGCTTTCACTTCCCAGTAGTCTCGAGGCCGTTTATCCAGGTGGAAGTAGCCATCATGGAAGGACCAGCCTTGAGGTAGTCCGTGGGCTTGCAAATCAGTGACCTGGAAGGCATGATTCAGCAATGCATGCTCAGGGGCTCGATCGGCCGTTGAGAGGTCGGGATCGGCACTGGCTGCAGGGGGCGGCTCTTCCGTGCTGACTGTTTCTGCCGATGGTGTAGGCAGTTCATATGGTTGTGCAGGTGGTGGCCGTAGGCTTCGGAGTGGTCCAAAGCTGAGCGTCTCTTGTCGGTTGAATCTGGCACGACGCTGGCTGAATGTCTCTGCATCAACCGTCTCATACAAGGAGGCAGTGGTGGGGTCCAAGACAGGTCTTGGATTTGGAGCCGGGGGGCGGTGGTGCCTCTGCTGGTGGATGTGGTGTCTCACGTCCGGAGGGAATCATCGGCTCTTCACTGGGTTCAGCCACTGTTGGGGCTCTGGATCTGGACCTGGTGGTCACTGGTGATGTAGGCATCTCCAAAGGAGGTGGAGGTTGTGCTGCCGGTGGTCCTGCCATGGTTGATGGAGGTGCTCTTGGGCTTGTTGGTGCAAAGCTCGAGTGTGCCGGTGAAGTCGGCTCGTACTCGTTGGCATCCAGTTCTGCCACAGGATCCGAGGTTGTTGGAGCCTCGGGAACTTCCAGGCGAAGTCGATGACGAGGTGGTTCTTCAGATTCATCATGCAGTGGTCCGTCAGGATCATCATACTGCTCATCTTCTTCGACATCTTCAAGTTGTTGTCGGTTGACACGCCGGAGGTCGTAGTATCGAGTGACACCACGAGACTTGAGTTGACGCACCATGTTGAGCGATGCTTGCAAGTCGTCCAGCACGTGCTGTGGTCCAAGGATGTCGCCACGGACATGGTGAGGTGCAGCTCGGATGAGTTGGCTCTTGTAGGCTAGCCAGTAGGTGTTGACCTTGGTGGCTTCAGTAGGTGCATCGGGGTCTTCTTCACGTAGCACCACATGAGCGGGTCCCAGCCAACGAATCTTGTTGAGTGCGCTCTGTCGGGCGTCTCTCCAGAACCAAACACGTTCACCAAGTCGGAAGATGCGGCTTTGACCTTGGTATTTCCTGCTCAAGGCTCTCCGAAGTTTGGAGTCAGCATCGGCGCTTGTGAGTGCCATACGTGCAGAGGTGCGACGTTCCAAGTTCTGCTCGAACGTGATGTTGTTTCCGGCCAGCTGTGCAGCGTTGAGGTTGGAGTCCAGAAGGTGGCTCAACTCAGGTTGATAACCCAACACCCATTGGCTCGGAGTGAATCCAGCAACGGAAGGAGTGGCATTCTGTTGCGGAATGACATAGGTCAGGGCTTCTTTCACTCCATGGGCGTCAGTCAGCTTGCGGTCTGAGAGATAGACCTCGCAAGCACGTCGAAGAACAGCGTGGCGACGCTCAACCAGGGCGAGTCTTTCGTGAGCCTCTCCAGGGGCGACTTGATGATCAATGCCAACAGCACTGGTCCAAGTTTCAAAGGTGCCACCGAGCCATGGTCTTCCTTCATCAGTGACCAAGACACGAGGAGGTCCAAAGTGGCGTAGCCAGACCTTTTCCAGGGCCTTCGAGTAAGACTCAGAGGTTTCCTCCAACACCAGGCTAGCAGCCATGAACTTGGTGCCAACATCAACGATGCTGAGGATGGAGAACTTCCGATCACCTGGTTTCAGGTAGAAGACGTCGGCCTGGATGGTGTCGTTGAAGCTCTTCGGCTGTGGCATGGACGATGGAGCCACTTGGTTTGGCTTCTTGTGCTTCAAGCACGCGACACACTTGTACTCCTTGGCGGCGGAAACAACAGATGCATGAGCGCCTCTTGCCAAGAGCAGGTCAGCTAGGGCCTCAGGTGAAGGATGACCCAGGTTCCGATGCAAGCGTTGTACAACACGTAGAGCATCTTGATGGTGTTCAGCTTGAAGCTTGAGCAAATGACCAGTTGCCTTCTTCTCGGAGCCATCAACTGCATAGGCGGTGTCCCAAAGTTGGCCTGGTTCAGGCTGAGCGAGTGCTGCGGCCAGGGTAGCTGCAAAGCCAGGTTGGTAGTCCTCAAGGTAGGTCGTTCGAGGGCCAAGACCAGGAGCTGCTCCTTCGAGGGGACAATGTTGGTGATCATGAGTGCAGCGAAGTTGCAGAGCTTCCAGGACTGCCTTCTTGGTGGTCCTCAGTCGAGTGCTCTTTTGGACAGGTCGCCATCGGCCATCAGTGTCCAGGCACATAGCACCATAGCGGCATTGGTCGAAGTCGGCGTTGTAGCCAGGTAGAGCCTTCAAGGCTTGAGTGTTCCAGCTGAGAGCATGTCGTGGCTGCTCCAGGTGAGCGTGTCGACCATTTGCTGCCTGACGGAGAAAGATGCGCTTGGCAAAGCAGAGGTGTCGACGATGATGATGTTCTCTTCGAGCGACCAAGGCTTCTTGTTGAGCCGTCGTTCTGCATGCCAAAGTCTGCATGCGGGACCAAACTTTGCACTCAGGTGCGAGAAGGACTTCATCAGGCTCCTCCTCGTCCAATCGCTGTAGGAACTGTTGCTGGTGGCTCTTGAGGTTGAAGTCCCAACCAGTTTCCAGGGAGAAGCGCTCGACCTTCATGCCAAGTTCTTCAGCGACCTGGCCCGTGCGGGCCTTGCCGCAGTACACTTCCCACAACACCCTTCTGTGTTCAGGAGGCTGGTGAAGCTCATTGGTGATGTAGGCTTCAGTGGAGTTCATCATGGTGGTCAGCTGTACCTCCATGGTGCGAAGGGCATGTCGATGAAGTCGGGCTGAGGTGAAGTTGTTGTCCGAAGGCACTTGCTCATCGGCAGCGAAGACTTGTTCCAGGTTGTTAAAGTCTTCCAGATGCAGGTGGCTGCCAGGAACTTCTTCTGCGATGTGCAGGGTGAACAAGCTCTTCGTAGGATCCGGCACATGCTCCATTCCAGCTGTAAGGCTGAGTAGGTATTCACCATGCTTGCCAACCAAGACCGGTTGCCAAGGAGAGCGGCCGAATCGGATTTGCTTCTGGCTGAAGTCAATGCCCATGTGGAGTGCCTCAATGACAGGTCGTCCCATCAACATTGGCGTGTTTCCGGGCACCAAATAGCATTGGATCGTGCCATAGTTGCCATCCAACATCACCGGTAGATCCACGGTCCAGCGAGCTTGAGATGAAGCGTCTCCGCCAAAGTGGAACTGTCGTTCGCATCGAGCGAACCGGATCGTGTTGACCGGGTAGTTCATGGAGTTGAGGTGGTCAACATATCGCTTGAAAGGACCGTATCCGCTGAGAAAGGCTGAGGCACCAGGATCCAGCATCGTGGCATCAGGACGTTCATCACCGAACTCGTCCTGGAAGAGCACGAGGGCATGCTCGGTCTGGACGGCCATTCCTTCTGTTGGACCAGGAGCAGGACGTTTGGTAGCCGTCGAACTTGATCGAGCCGACTGCGGGCATTGTGCAGCCCAGTGACCAGGTTGGCCACATCTGAGGCAGGTCGTTGCTTGTGCTCGGCCACGAGGATCAGCTGCCTTGCCACCAGTGTTGGGTGGATAGCGGATGACATTCTTGCCCTTGCCCTTGTTCTTGCTCTTGGACTTCCCTTTTGAGGGACTGCGATCCTTGCCTTTGTTCGAGGGGCTGGACGCCATAGGAGAGGATTGACCATCAGTGAGGGCGACCACTGGAAGGTATCCGCGAGCCAGTTTGAGCTGCTGGAATCGTTGCCTTGCATCAAGGTAGGTCGCATAGGCATGATCGTACTGTTCGGCAAGCTCATAGGGATCCTCAGTCGATTCGCCATGGTCTTCTGTTGGCTCTTCCTCACCATAGTAGATGGCGTCATAGTCAAAGGATTCGTCCTCGTCAGGGTTGTAGTCGTCTGGTCCCCATTCATCGGCCTCATAGTAGACACTCTCATCGGGCCAGGCAGTGTCGGTTGGCCAGGCATAGTCATCATCCTCATAGGCTGCATAGCCTCTACCTTTCCAGCGGGCGAACTTCCGATCTCTGTCGCTGTTCCAACCACCCGCTTTATAGTCTTGACCGAAGAGGAGGTAGAGTGCATCGATGACGGCCTGCTTTTCCAGCGTTGGAGCTTTCAAAGTCACCATTTGGCGTTGCTCCTTGGTCAGGGCGGCACGCCGGAGAAGATGCCATCCTTGGACTTGGCCGGGTAGTGAAACATTGTGTGCCATCAGCTTCCGATAGGAGGTGTCAAACTCCGTGACGTAGGTCAGGAGACTCTGCTGAGGCTTCCTCTGAATGAGGTTGAAGAACTCCTCAAAGTCGTTGGGGAGAAGGACGCGGTCGTCATATTCAAAGTTCTTGTCCAGCTTTTCGAGTATTTTGCTGAAGGCGTCACTCTTCTCCACATCCTCAACGGGATAATCCTCGAAGAGTTTCCAGGTTACGCCGCTGAAGCTTCCGAGGATGTTCAGCACAGACTCACCAGCTCGTTTGCTGATGACCATCTTCTTGTGATAGAGGTTGAGGCGTTTCCTGTACTCTTTGTACTCTGAGGGCTGGTTCGAGAACAAGGGGACGTAGGAGTCGCGCAGGTTCTGTGTCTCTACTTCTTTCGTCCCGGCGGACGCTGCTGCCATTGTCACTTCCGTAGGTCTTCAGCAGGAGGTGGAGCCTAAGCCGAAAGGTCTCTTCCACGAGGCGCCAGAAGAGCTCGGCAGAGTGAAGGTGACAAAGGTCTTAAGCAGGGCCTCGTTCAAGTAGACACAAAGTTCGCGGGAGCCCCGGAATGGGGCTCCGCTACCAATGTGAACTTGTCGTGCACGGCGAACGAAGTCCGTGTCGAAAAAAAAAGAAAGCACGAGGATCGACGATCCTCACGGCCGCGCCTTTTCAGCGCACATGAACCCTCCCATGCTTGAGAGGTGAGTTGCGGGTGACATGAAACAGGTTCATCTTCAAGAACCTAAGTGTACAGCGTACACTTCACAGTAAGAATAACTCGTAGACCCAGTGGCCATTGTTGCCATGGGGATTGCTCTGTGCATACGGAATCTGATTTCTCTGTCTTTTTGACTGGAAGTTGGCGCTGGCTATCCTCAAATGCTATGGCCACAAAAGACATCCACAATGATCCGATCAATCCGAATTCATCGCATCAAACAAGTCTGCCGCAATCCTCACAACAATTCAATTCTCCCCCCCAAAACACCGGGCCATCCCACAGCTCGCTTCATGTGGCGATGAGTTCCATGCCCTTCCCATCATTTCCCATCCATCTTTTTTTCCTTCCATTCCGGCCTGGCTTGGTGAGGACCTGTGTGCCTGGGTCTGTGAGCCCGTCTCCAATCAGCACAGCTTCCAGGGTGAAGTAGCTCTCATGCTGCCTGGGGCGCGTGGCAACTCGGGCTCGGGGTTGTCGGGAAATCGATTCGATTCTGTGATCTCAAATGGCTTGGGGAAGGAGGCCTCCCAACTCAGACCTGTGAAGCCGGCCAACATTGGTTCGATTTGAAAATTGTCAGGAAAACCTCAAAGTCTTGTGAATGAAAACCATAGTTTGCTGCGGATTTTCCCTTACACCAGTTCTGGGAATGTAGTACCCACATACCCCTGTTGCATTGGGAGTTGCCTCGGACTTGTCTAATGGAGCACCCCAATCTGCGGTTTCGCTGGGTTTCTCACCTTCTTTTCGAGTGATCCCGTCTTTGCGCACCTTCCACTACATGGACCTCAATTCAACACGTAAAGCATGTACCAGCACCTGAGGTTGCGATGGCGATCTCTGGTGGCATCTCGCTCTGCCCGACTGAGACTTGCTCAAGGACCTTCCAGTCCAATCCCGCTGCATCAACATACGGGCATGTGTTGCTGATCAGAAAGCGCATGTCCTGCTGTTCTGGTTCATCTTTCCCTCCCCAGAATCGACGCAACCCCCGCGCGCGTCACGTTCGGCGAACGAGCCGCAGAAGCCAAGCGCCGAGCGCGGGCACGAAGTGCCCTCCATAAGACTCGCCCGCCAGCACCAGCTTCGATGGCACTCGGGGGTGTCGTCGGGCGAAGAGCTCTAAGAGTTGGTGCAAATTCCGCGCGACGTCGTCCTGGCCTCATGTGCGGAGTTCTTGGGTGGGTTTTGCCGGTGGTCGACCCATCATGCATCAACAAAACGGGAAAGAACACATATGGAAGATCATGAAAGTACCCACCTCAAGGGAGAACAAACAGGTTGATCCTTGGACGATCCATGAACCTCCTAACTTCTCCAGCTTAGCGTGCAAGGCGCCGAAAAGCGCAGCTCCAAACACCGGGAGAAATCCCTTTTTGGTGCCTCGGGCCTCGACCTTCGAAGCAAAGGCGTCCCGAAGCGTCCGACATCGGACTCCGATGGTCCGATGATCGGTTTCGATTTCTGAAAGGACGATATAGTTCGATGTCAACAGTTCAGTTCGATTCGGTCAAACAGTTGGGGGAACATTCTCCGGTTAAGGACGATAGGTTGAAACTTGAATAGAATTGTGTATATATAGATATATTGGGACAATAGTCCAGCGGTCAAATAATTGTTCAGTTGAAACATGTCTGACCATATATATTGCTCACGTTTTTCAGGAGCTTCCTCGCGGGGCCACCTTGATAGTTTTCAAAAGTTAGCCTTGGACTCCCTCCAGGGTGTTAATATGTTTCAATCGTATGTGGGTTGGCTGCAGGGTTAACGACGAATCCCCACAGCACCGCTGTGCCCAGCGGCTCTGGGCGTAGCTACCATTGCTCTTGGCCCAGGACCATCCAGTGCCCACGGGTGAATCCACGAAGAGCACCGGCAGCAGGGAAGCCCAGGTCTCGTTTCTGCAGCAGGGCTCCAGGTGAACAGAACGACCGCCGTTGGACGCAAAGCGGACAGCCCAACAATTAAAACTTTTTGGTTCTATGAATATTGAATAGGATGCACAAGAAAATCCGACTCACCAACATCGAAGGCTCACCGCACGTTTTTCAACATCCAAAGCTCACCGCACAACAACTAACACTCACCACATCTCACCACATCTCACCACATCTCACCACACTCGCACCACTTCCACCCCGCCTGGCGCGAGGTACCAGCTCGCCCTGGTCACTCAACTTGACTGGCCCGAGCTCGTAGAAGTTCCCCAGCATCCTGACACGGAGCGCCGCTGGTGGGAACATGTCCCCAAATCACTCCGGACTGGCACATTGACCGATCAGTTCGGGTGGTGAATTTCAGGGGTCAATGTACACCCTACCTCCAATCCTGAAAGCGTATGTCTTCGTATTGTTAGTTCTTATATTTTTCTCATCCTCCTATAGTCTTCGGGAGCATGGCCCATCCCATCCCATCCACCTCTTCTACTCCCCATGACGGACGCCTCCCGGACCCACTCGGCGACGGAACTGGGGTGGAACATCCACCGGTGAAGCGATCCGTCTCTAGTTACTGTTGAGAGGATGGATTCAGCTGATTCTCTAGGTGTATGGTAAGCCGTATGGATGTAGAGCCTCAAACCATACCTTGCCGAATCAGGTGATGCATGTCAGGTGATGCACTTTTTTTTGGGTAGATTGTTGTCGTCAATTGGGACACGTAACAATGGTCCTCCAAATGCACCGGGCTTTCATTAGTAGGTGGCTGAACTTCGTTCTCCACCGCATTCATGATATAACCAAAAGGTACCAGCAGGATCCAGCAGGTATAGGTACTGGGAAGGGGTGGCAACCTGTAAGCATCATGTGTTAACTCTATGTCCTTCATTCCAAAAACCTAGCAAGAAACCACTGAGTCTGACCAAACACCAGTCAAGAGACAAACCGTCCCATCGGATCGTCCCATGCCACTCCCCCCCAAAAAACGGCACGCCCGACCTAAACAAACTGTACAATACAATACATCCTCCTCCTCCTCCTCCTCATCATCATCAAAATCATCCTCGTCCTCGTCGTCCTCATCAACTGCCTGCCCTCCCGTTCCACACGATGAATCGATTCCCGTAACCCGCCCAAGGCACGAGGAGGCGCCGGGACCCCCTTGGAGCCACAGCAGCAGTGGAGTCTCTGCCGCGACTCCAATGGGTTCGAAATACCAGTAGAACAACCCGCCTGACCGGAGCGGATATCGCATTGGATCTCTTTGGGGAGTTCCAGCACTATCATGCACTGCCTAGCTATATATAGGTACCTCAGAAAACCAATGTGGATCTGTGGATGTGTGTGTGTTAGAACGCGCGTTAAAAGACAGAAGTGCCCGCGGCACTCTCCACGTTTCTCCATTCCCAGTTCTCAATTCTGGGGGCGTTGGCACGCCCTGGGTCCGAGACCCACATGGAACCCCAAACCCACGCTGCTTGTAGGGGAAAATCGTCTTCCCAAGGTCCATGCCAAGCCCGGTTCCGTGTGGATCTCGGAACCTGGGTCGGTGGGTCTCCACCGACCTCGCCGATCCGCTGGTTAGCTCCAAAGCGGGTCCTGCGTCCACGTCGCCCATGCCGGCATAGCTCCGGTAGTCCGAGAAGCGCGGCCCGAGGTCCACCGCATCACCTCTCCGCGTGGCGTGGCGGTGTGGGAAGATCCCAATCAGGGCGGATCAGGGCGGGTCGTGGTCTGAACTCCTGTCCTACCTTGGAATCACCAGAAACGAACACCTTCTGAAAATTCTTGATGAAACCCTTATGTATTCCAAACCACAACAAATTATGTAATATAAAATAACTCGGGAAAGGGTGTGCTCCCCCCATACCCATACAATAGTACACTAAATAACCCAAACATTGTTGCTGGCTGAACTGCTTTATTCTTTGGTTACCCTTTGGTTCCTTTTTAAGTCCTGTCCTCCACAGTTCATCACATGGAATCATCAGAACCCATAAAACCTTCGGATGATTTTGTACTCCCTCATTCAAAAGCCACAAGCAATAGAACAAAATCAGCCTGGAAAGGATATCCCCAATGAAGCCAAACAGCTATTTAACGGCAAAGTGGGGGAGGTCCCAAAGACAGGGGCCCCTCACTAAGGGAGTCTGGAAAGTTCTTTTCGAACTGCCTGCAATGATCAATCCCCGAACATCAGGGATGGATCATTGCAGTTTTCAGAGTGATGGCACAATTCCCCAACAAATAGTGACCTCACAACACCTCAGAAGACCGAAGACCGTCAGGACCGACCCTTGGGTGCCATGTCTACCGAGTGCCCAAAGGACCGTCCATGCACCAGGTCCAGCCCAAGGTGCTCTGTCCACTCACCAGGCCAATCAAACACCAGGCGGCCAGAAGCGCCATGGCGGCCGTCGTTTCGTTCGGTTTCGAGGGTTCGAGCCGAGGAGATGTGGGACCCCAATGAATTGATAGTCTATAAGTATATTCTATGAGTCTAATAGTATAAGGGATTTGAATGGTCAGCCTATCAAATCGGGCGTCTCGAGCAGAAAGGATCGCCGGCGTTCTTCTTTCTCCGTTCCGGGTCATGGCCCCTGACCTCTGAGCCCATGGGAAATGGCACTCAAAAGCGGGGAAAGATCGGCTGGCAAGATCATCACCACTGGGAGGACAATCATCTAGCTGGCCACCCAAGTTCTTCAGTTCCAAGAGTTATCTTCTGCATACAGAGCCACTAGCACGGAAGGGCCGGGCATAGCTACGTACGTAACAGGGGCATCGCTACCGCTCCTCGTTGACCCCGGCGGCACGAGCGGTGATCTGCCTCGGTGGGGCGCCGGCCGGAACATGCCCAGTTCTAAAGGAGAAAACCGGGCAACCATCTTCAACCTGGAATACTCACATGGAACCTGAACAACCTCTGGGCAACCTCTGCGACGTAGAGGAAGATCGTCTTCCAGGAACGCGTCCCATGCCCCGGTTGACCGGGTGACCCGGGTGACCCGCGTCTCCGCGTCATCCCCATGGCCCGGGGGTGGACCCGATGAACAGAGATCGCCCCTATAGGATCGACCCAGGAGGAGGAAGTGGAACGCAGTGCGCCCCATGAAGTGCGTGAAAAACACCACCCCCCCGGGTGTTCTTTCAATCTCCAGCGACTCCACCACCCAAATACCGCAGTGGAACACGGTAATATACAGATCTTTCATTCCATGGGTGTTGGTTCGCGTTCTTGACGTGCGAACCAGCGGCGGGATGGCGAACCAGTCCAGGAAGATGTAGCCATTGGCCGACTGTTCGTAGGTCGAAGGGTGTAAAGCCTTGTGAACATCCATCGAGGTGAGATCAGCCTGTCGGAGGTGACCATCGTGGGGATCATAGGGGCTTCGCAGCGTAATGGAGGGGAATGCTTGAGCACTCCATGCGTGGATGAAACATATCCTCAAATGACCTGGAGATGAAGCCACGCCGTGAGGGGCACAGCTTGTTCGGTCGCTGGTCGCTGGTCTTCTTCTAGGTCTTATCTTTCAACCCGTATAAAGCATTCCAAGGACCAGTCGTTGAGTCCCTTCTTGAAGTCGAGAAAGAACACTAAGAACACAATCCAAAAGAGGCTTGTGTTGGAGGAAAATAATCCAAAGTATGTCAAAACTAACTGCTCTTGGCTGACCTGGGCTCACCTTCATGATTGTTGGTGGATGCCCTTTTAAGCTTCATAGTCACCTCATCATGTTGAAAGTCCATGGCCGGTCAAGGAGGATTTTCTTGGACTGTAGGAAGTATATGGGACAAAGTCTGGGCGGCCACTACATCCTCAGCATCGCAAGTAGCTGCCATGCAAGTTACTAATCACATACCAGCTAGCACCAGGTTTGGAAGCTTGCATGAGTCAGTCATCTTGGGGCCAAACTGCCGGCCTTAGTTGACCCATGTTGATCCAGAATTTCACCCAATGGTCCCCACATAAGAACCACCTCCATCAACATCCCATCTTGATCACTCCCAACCTCCACTCCCCCTTCTACTCCTTCAGGCTCAACCTCCTCCTCCAAACCGCCAGCGATGTGCGTGCCTCTTCGCCTTCCAGACCGCCCATCCGCCCACCCGCCCGCACGTGAGCCGATCGAATGCCGGCCGCTCGAAGCATCGATACGGCTCGGCCTCCACTTTCAGGTTCCCCGTGGTGAGGCCCTTCATGGCGTCCCGCAGCACGGCCATCTGAGTCCCCATGGGGTCCGGTGCCTTGGCCTCGGCGAGACGGAGGACGGAGGACCTGGTCGGTTGAAGAAGCACCGGAGGAAGTGGAGGCAGGTGAATGAATTGCCCATGCTGTTTGGATTTAGTAGTGGTGGTATAGGTGAACTTGTGGTTTTGGGCCTTGGCTCTCACATGGTTGATGTTTGGGTTTTGATTGGATGCTCAAGTTTCAAAAGCAGACCGTCTGCGGCGGCTGCGGCCCAGGAACGCCCAACCATTGGTGCGAGATGAAGATCACAAACATTCCTCCAAAAGAGCGAGGAGGCGAATCGCGCGAGGCGCTGCAGTTCAATGAACGAGGCTCTTATGCATCTTATGCAAAATGGTGTAAAGGCCGTCCTTAATAGGGCGAGGTATTCATTCGGATCTGTTTGAGCTTTGTCAGCCCTTTGGTTAGCGCAACAAATGCCAACATGGTGGATCAATGCCGAAGACGAAGATGGCAACCCCTGGAGTTCTCTGAATTCTGCGGCCGTCCCAGTAGGCCCTTGCCCAATCTCCTGCCCGCCACTCGTGTAGCAAGCCTGGCCATTTGCCGGAATGTGTATGGTAGTGTGTATATATATATATAGACTCTTGATTAATACCCCCCCTATGGAATTGAAAAACCTCTTCAAGCCTGCGGGAGGGTTGTTAATCAAGAGTCTGGCTATAGTCGATGTATTCTCCGAGCGACCCGTCGCGAGCGCTACTGATCGTGCGAACGAACGACCCCCCCCCGGAATTGGGAGAAACAATTATTTAGTAGGTCCCCCTCTCAACCCCCCCAGGAATAATTTGGAAATTATTCTGCCCCCCCCTCGACAAGAGAGAGTGGGGAGAGAGAGAGAGAGAGAGAAGAAAAAAAGACCTCACTTATTATGCTCATTCTTACATTCATGTGTATCTTATGCTCTCTGGAAAGGTAAGTCATTCATTATTCACTTAATAGAAGTTGTTTCATGCTGTGTTCAATTGACCTGACCCCCTCGGTTCCCTCAGCCCGTCCGATTCACTGGAGAAAAACACATACATAAAAACACCGCCTGTTCTCGTCGCAGGAAACCAATTCCCCAAAAAAATCGATGGTGCAGGTGCAGGTGATCCTCACTAACTGGGTCATAGACATGTGTCCTTCAGATTTGCACAACACATGTTCTAGCTGCTTCTACAGGTTCACCCCTGGTACGGGGGGGGCGCGGAAGGGGGTGCACAATGTATTCTATGCGTTTCTATGACTGTCACCTGGAATAATACTGGAACTCTACAACCCCCTGTTTGTAGACATGTTGTAAATGAACATGGTCATCCAACAGGACATGTTCCACTTCCATTACTTGATTTCAGAATGTACATTGTATGATTCTTTCGCATGGACTGTCAACCCAGAAGCCGACACAAAACAGCCTTTTTGAAGCGCCAGTCATGGATGGGGCCTCCGTGTTCTTAGGAAGAAGCAGAAAAGGTACTCATCCTTCATCAAAGGCAGGCGATAGTAATCCAATGTAATCCAGCAGGATTTGGGCAGCTTTGATTCAACACCTATCATACACCACCGGCAAATGGTGGACTTTCCAAAATGTTCACTTCTAACTTCATATGGGGTATCCAAGGAAACTCGCTAATCTTTTATCCCCTCAGCTCCGGATCCTCAGGTGTCCGGAACTCCGCTGATCCTCAGGTGTCTGCTCCGAACTTCGCTCCACCCTGGGACCGGGTCCGGCCTTTCTCCCGCAGCACGTGGTGCGGCTCGGGCGGGCCACTCATCTGCATGAAGTCTGAGACCTGCCGCGTCCGCGGATCGGGGTCGCCGCTCCGCGGTGTGGGTCGCACCCCGCGGTCCGGGAGTCGTCCGGGAGTCGTCCGGGAGTCGAGGAGTTGAAGGGAGTCCGGGACGGAGTCGAAGTCGCTGGAAAGCTCCGAAGTGGACAACCCCCCTAGCTACATTTATGAGGAGGTACTTGGAGCCCTAGCTACATAAATGCCTGCCGAGAGAGTGCGCCACATCCCCCAAAGGTCTCCCGAAGAATGGGCCCAAAACCGCATGTGAGGAATCTGAAGAGTGCTGGGGGCTCGCCATCTGTCATCTGTCATCGGGCGTCCAAGCGTCCGCTACCCCTGCAAGCCCTACTGTTCATCATTGTCACTACTACATGATATAGCAAAGGTGTGGCTACGCGGCTGTGCAGCAAGTTAATGAACAAAATCATGCCCATCGTCGACATCTCCAACATTCAGATCTGTCCTTCACCACGTACATGGGAAACAAGTACCTGGGCGTCATGAAGCAAATCAATCCATACCACCAACACCCACCATGCACATGTCGATGCAGCCGATGCATACAGTAGTGCATTGAGAGTAGATGGCACAGACCGCAAGAGGTGGTTGATATGGACCCCCCATCTGTTCAGGACATCATGGGGCCATCTACTCAGAAACCACGGTAAATGTAGCGAGGTAAATCTCTGTCTCTCTCTCTCTCTCTCTGTCTGTCTGTCTGCCTGCCTTCCCAAGACTGTGATTCGCCCAGCAACATCCAACCCACCCGCTACATCAGCCACTATCTCGTACCAACTGGACATCACTGTCTGCGTGACCAACCCGAGGCTACCACAGCGCAACGAGGTGGGCTCCACTCCCTGTAGCTCCGAACGGCTCAGAAAGGAAGATGGATGGTTTCGGCTCCGAAACGGATCGAAACACATCTCACACTGCCCAGCTAGAGCATCCTACAGCTATACCAACCCAAAGGGATCTACCCCACCCTGCTGCGTGAGACGAAAGGACCTCATGCGGGAGACCCCACTCCTTCCGGCACCCAGCACTCGTACCGTACGAAACCTGGCCGAGTCCAAAGCAAATTCAACGGTTTGGGAGAAAACTCCTCCCTCTCTGAGTCTCTCCCTCTCTCTCTGCAGAGTCTGGCTGGCGCCCAGCCGTCCCACGGGGACACTCTGACGGTCGGTGACAAGGGCTTTTTCTCCCGTAGACTGTTGACACCCAGAAACACCTCTCGCCCGGATCCGGGATGGTTTTACATCATTCACGACCGGGGGGGGCCCTTTTGGGGGTCTTTTCATCAGTCTGATGCTTCGCAGTCACGACATGTCACGACTTGCATGTCACGACGTGCGTGACATCAGCACATGGACCTCTGCCTGGTCCGTCCATCCGACCTTCAAAGACCTCAAACACCGGTCCTCATCGCTCGGCAAGGCGAAACACATTCGACACATTTGGGTTGGAACACGTTGGAACGTTGGAAGTGGAGCCCTTAGGATTCGGTAGGCACAAAGCCGCCTACCGTGGTTTCGGCCGATTGAGCCCGGATGCTCGTGAACGCAAGAGCCACATTCGACCAGCACCTCCTCCGCGCTGTGCTCTGATGGTGTGCAGGAACCATTGTTCCCCATGGGCGGCTCTGCAATCTGACTCGCCCGGCAATGCTGCTGACAGCCAGTAGCTGAGGGAAAGTCTCAAAGCTCAAAATGGGCTCAGTCGTTGGAAGGCCAAACAATGGATTGGTGTAAGGGAATATCGACAGGAAACCGTGGTCTAAACATGTCTTAACCCTCAAAACGAGGGGGTTTCCTGAAACAACATCTTCTGGAACTGCCCTGACTTGTGGTATGTCTTGCGGCCAATTTCCCTCCTAGACGTTTTTGGCTTCCTGCCACCAAGACCGAGGTGGAGGGTTGGTCAGGGATGCTCAACAAAACAAGAATCAAGAAGCCTTGACCTGTGCCACCAGAAAGGGCAAAGCAACCCGAACTCTGACAGGTCTAGTCGTGTTATGTCTGTGGATGGGAGTGCCAACTGCCCAGTGGGACACTTCTACAGGCCCTCTGCTTCAGGACACTTCTGCTACCCCCTCGGGCTGGGACAGCCATTTGGGAGCTCAAATCAAGGCTGTATTCAAAGGCCCAGTTGAATCGAGCCTTGGCCGAGGCACATTTAAATTGGTCTTTGAAGGCTCGGGATCTCATACCCTACACCTGTGGGGTCGGCCAACTCGAGCTCAACCTGACCAACTGTCCAGCCTCGCTCTGCGCACTCTGCTGCGCACTCTGCTGCACACGTGCGCGCGTCGGATGGGGCGCCCGGGCCAAGAGCATCGACGATCCGATGAAGATGCCGAACTCGCGGAGGGGGATCAGCTTGGACGTAAGGAGCAGGAAGTAGCCTGCTGGTCGTTGGTCGGATCTTCCACCCCACCAGGCCCAGTCACTGGTAGGAACTGGGCAGGTTTCGGAGTGACAAACCTGGACCGTCTGATGGTTTCAGGCTCCGCTAGGTATGCATACATAGCCGCTAAGTCGTATGGCCACATGACCCAAGCATACGTTGCGCAACTCTTGTCTGAATCTCGATCATTACCTCATCGAACTCCTCATTCAAAGACATCATCCAATCATTCCACCACATCCCAGTCATGCAGCTACTTTGGTTTAGGGCCTCAGTGCGGTTTAGGGATCCTCTATGTGCTGGAAACATCTGGAAACCACCAATTCTGTTGGTCAGTTTCCTTACGAGAAAAACAGTGGGTTGATGAACCTGAAAAGAAAACGAGGAAGCTAGTCTTCCAAAGGTCCATGCCATCAGGTTCCATGCTAAATCCCCCCAGTCATCCCAATGGTGCTCGCATCTAGGCTACCCGGCATCCAGAGGTGCACACCACTGGGAGCATCTCGCGGCCCGCAGCCTCAGTATGACACCAAAAGGAAATGTCCCACAACCCCCCAGATGTGACAGGATATGATAGGACTAACATGGACTAACTGATGATGAACCAATGATTGAACATTCTGTGTCATGAGTCATCCATGATAAGCACAAGCACGGCAACTGGGTGACTGACACTTCATCACTCGCCCAGCTCTGAAATCACATGAAATCGCCCGTTCTGCCGTCCCACAAAGTCACTCATCGTCCGTTCGCGAGGCATGTTTTCACATGTTTTCACTGTTCACCGTCCAAAGTGTGGTTTTCATCATGCACCGAGCCTGTGCCAAACCACAATTGTTCACCATTCTATTTACTGTAACATGTCTGAAGCCTGAAGTAAGTATGATCCACTGTATTCGTGGCGTTTGGGGCTGCCGAAAGATCCTTGCCCCTGTTTTTGAAAGCTGTAGGAGAACATGGTCTGGGACTCGTGTGACATGTCACATGTCCACATTAAAATGTCTTGCTGTCCTACGTGTCACATGGCATGATTGCATGGGTAGTTGCGCCTTCTTCAAGCCATTTACGGGGTGAGTC